ACTTTTCCTTCCCTTACTGTAGTACTAATACTGATGCATGAAAACCTCTTACAAATTTGGAGCATATGAGTACAAAAAAAAATTCCACAGACTCTAGTATGCTATTTACAGGTCCTGGAGATTGTCCTTCAACCTTCACAGCTCCTCCCATCTAGCCCACACAGTCTCGATCTGATGTGTTACCCACCTTGCCAACATCTCCAGCAGCCAGTAGACCTGCTCCAGCTTGAATTCCTCATCCTCAGCCCTCACCTTGAGCACTTGCAGACACTCAACAATGTTCACTGTTGACCACTCATGTGGGTATTTGACCTCCAGAATTTCTGTGGCTGATGGAGTGTCACTCTGGGCTGTCACTTCAACATCTCCAGGTTTGTCCAGTAAACTGGTTGCAGTCACAAAAAATGGTTCAATCTCAACTTGCAGTTCATTGATCAGAAGTGACGCATGAGGATCATCGACAGGGACTGGTGAGGGCTTGGGTGAAGGTCCAGGCATTGGAGTGGCTCTGCAGAAAAAGAGATGGGGTGTTGGTGAAGGATTGCAAAGTGAAGGGGCTGGATCTGGTAAGGGTGAGCATGTGGGGGTCGGATCAGGCTGCCATTTTCAAGCTGGAATTTTCAGAGTAAGCTTCTTGACAGGTTCAGTTGCAGATTCTGCTGGGGCTGGCTTCGAGGTCATAAATGATTTGACTCATTTGTGGGATGGCCCTGCCTCCCCAATGGTACCAGAGTTCTTTCACTGAAGGTGGTGTCAACTTGTTCCCTTGTGGAATTTCACCTGTGCAGTACTCACCTTTCTCCCTATGCCTCGAGAGCACAAGCACTTCATTTCACCTTCCTGCACCATTTGCAGGATGCCTCTGGCTCCCAAATGCATGTGAGGTTTGCCTGGGCACATGTCTTGCAGGACTTGTTGTCCCCAGCTGCATGAGGTCCCTTCACAGATGGACCTGGTTCACCATCGCCCTCATCATTGTCAATGTCATCAGCCAGCTCATCCTCCTTGCTGGTGGCCTGTGGAATTTTCATTGAAGTCAGCATGTGTGTGTGTTACACACCAAAGGTGTTGTACCCATGGTTACAGCTGACTGCATAACTCATTGACAAGTTGTGTGCCATGCCATGAATGCATATGAAGAGTAGAGCCCTCATGTGTAGAAAGACTGCTGGATGTTAGCAGTCATCCTTCACACAAGAATGAGTCATCAGTGCTAAAGAGAAAAGAGGAAGTGAGTTAAGCATGCAGTAAGAGTTTTTAGTGCCCATGTATGGCATTCTGGTTTTTGTGGTATCTCCACCATTTCCAAAGATATCAACTCCATTCTCACACTCACTTAAAGTTCTTGGCCATGTGATCCTGCCTTCCAAATTTGGAGAGGATCCTCACACCCTACACAGGGCTCAAAGGATATGAATCTTGTGTGAAGAATTATGCAATAATGGGGTCACAATCTTGCTTATATGTGAAATGGACACCTGCAAGGCAGACCTGTGTCTCATTGCCCTGATTCTGAATCTCCAAGAATCATGGTGATCTGACTTGAACTGATTGGTGCCATTGATTGAGCCTGTTACAATGTGACAATATATATCCCAATTGTGGGCAGAGGACAATGTGGATGTCAGAAATACAGGGTAGGATGTCCAACATTTGCCTCTGTGGCATTTGTATAACATCTCACTGGTGTCCAGAGGGGGAGATGGGATGTCCCAACATAGCCTGAGAGGCTGCTGTGGGACATCCCACTGGTTTCTGGAAGGGGGGATGGAATGTTCCAACATAGCCTGAAAGGTTGTTGTGGGACATCCCACTGGTTTCAGGAAAGGGGGTTGGGATGTCCCAACATAACCTGAAAGGCTGTTGTGGGACATCCCACTGGTTTATGGAAGGGGGATGGGATGTCCCAACATAACCTGAAAGGCTGTTGTGGGACATCCCACTGGTTTATGGAAGGGGGATGGGATGTCCCAACATAGCCTGAGAGGCTGTTGTGGGACATCCCACTGGCTGCTGGAGGGGGGGGGGGGTGGGATGTCCCAATGTAGCCTTATGATGGAAATGTGACCAGAGCTGGGATTGAAGCAACCTCTTAGGTGTTAACAAGGTGCTCTGACTGCTCAGCTGTGTATATTGTCTAGGTGATAGCATCAGTAGCATGGGGCATGGACCAGTGATGTGGGAACAAAACTATGTGGCATGCAATGCACAGAATACACCATTTCCAACATGGTCCTTCAATCTGGAAATTTTTGGAGTGCAACAAGGGTGCATGCCTCCTATGATCATGCAAATGGTCTGATAGCATTTTGGCCTTGTGTTATGTGGAGAGTGGTGTGGGACATCTGGCCAGACAGGGGGGTGGGACATCCCACTGCTGGCCAGATGGTGGGGAGGGATGTCCCAATGTAGGTGTATCAGCTGTTGTGGGACATCCCACTGATTGGCAAAGGGGAGGGTGGGATGCCCCAATGTAGCCTCAGAGGCTGTTGTGGGACATCCCACTGGTTGCCAGAGGGGGAGAGGGATATCCCAATGTAGCCTTAGAGGCTATTTTGGGACATCCCCCTGGTTGCCAGAGGGGGGGAAGGAATGTCCCAATGTAGCCATAGAGGCTGTTGTGGGACATCCCACTGCTTGCCAGAGGGGGGGCAGGGATGTCCCAATGTAGCCTTAGAGGCTGTCATGGGACATCCCACTGCTTGCCAGAGGGGGGGAGGGATGTCCCAATGTAGCCTTAGAGGCAATTGTGGGACATCCCACTGCTTGCCAGAGGGGGGGAGGGATGTCCCAAAGTAGCCTTATGAGGAAAATGTGACCAGTCCTAAGATTGAACCAGTGACCTCCTAGGTGTTTACCAGGTGCTGCAACCACTGAGCCATATGGTCTGGGTACTAGTGTCAGTAGCTTGGGGGCTTAGACTAGCACTGTGGGAACATATCTCCATGAAGTTAATGCACAGAATGCACCATCTCCAATGTGGTCCCTTCATCTGGCCACTTTTGGAGTGTAAAAACAGTGCACACCCCCTAGGGTCATGCAAATGGTCTGATTGCCTTTTGACCTTGTGTCATGTAATGGATCAGGATTTACTGCTGTGTTTCCAGGAGGCCTTACTATCAGCCACCTTGTGTCCATGTAACTCACATGATCTGGACTTACTAAGGATGCTGCATGACCCATTGTACTGAGCATGCATGGGTTCCAGCTGCAGCTCATAACCTGATGAAAATGTGACCAGAGCTGGCATTGAGCCAGGACCCTCTCAGTGTCAAGCAGCTGCTCTGACCATGGAGTTACCTTGCATTGGATTCTCTATGGTGCTTGTAGGATTAGTGCAGATTACTACTTCAACACCTTAGAGGCTGTGTTGGGACATCCCTCTGGTTGCCAGAGGGGAGGGTTGGATGTCCCAATATAGCCTTAGAGGCTGTTGTGGGAAATCCCACTGGTTGGCAAAGGGGAGGGTGGGATGTCCCAATGTAGGCTTAGAGGCTGTTGGGGGACATCCCACTGGTTGGCAGTGGGGAGGGTGGGATGTCCCAATGTAGGCTTGGAGGCTGTTGTGGGACATCCCACTGCTTGGTAAAGGGGAGGGTGGGACATCCCAACATAGCCTTAGAGGCTGTTGTGGGGCATCCCACTGCTTGGCAGAGGGAACAGTGGGATGTCCCAATGTAGCCTTAGAGGCTGTTGTGGGACATCCCACTGCTTGGCAAAGGGGAGGGTGGGACATCCCAAGTCCCCTTATGAAAGTCAGTGGGATGTCCCATCCCAGCCTCAGAGGGCTATGATGGCACATCCTCCCAAGTTACCTTTGCAGACCAGCACAATGCCCCATGACAACCTCAGAGGCTCATCTGGGACATTCTGCCCTCTGCAGATGGTGTTGCAAAGGTGGCCAACCCCATGTTCTATGTGGGGGACTTTGAGATATTGGCTTGTCACACAAGTGTTCAAAAACCATTCACTTCTTCCTTCATACAGTACAAATTGCATGAGGTATAGACACAAATTGATTGAATTTATTATTGCAATTTTTAAGGCAAATGTGGAGGCCCAGGTGGGTCATCTCCCTGGCAACTAGTGAGATGTCCCAATACAGCAGAATCACATTGCAAAGATGTACATGAAAAGTACTATTGTATGCTACTATGCATGGTGGGATGGGAGGGGATGTATGGGTCAAAGGATACTTTGTGGATTAAATCTGTCAGAGGAGCAAGGGGGCTATGATTTCTGCAGCTATTTCAATGCTAATATAAGCTGCACTTTCAGGAGTAGGGACCCCAGTAACCCAAGGCAGTCTTGGGACATCCCAAATAATTGCATTTGAATGGATGGCTATGTGGGAAATCCCATCTGTCCCAGGGCCTAAAAATCTGCATAGCCCTGGGACATGACCAGATGTCCCTGGGCAGACCTTGGTCTGGGAGGTTATTAGGCTGGATGGTTTGGAGAAACTATTCAGTCTAAATGCTTACAAAAAATGGTTACCTGAAGTGCCTATACCCAATAAACACTTCAAAGGCATGTAGTCTTAGCATGAATTTTATGTCTAGTTCATGTTCTGTATGTTGCATACAAAGTTTTAATTCATTTGCTGCAGGTAACTGTCTCTGCATGTTGTTTCCTTTTACATCTCACAATGAACCTGTCAACATTTATATGGATTCACAAGATGTCATTTTGTCATGGTCCCCAGGCTTCTGTCTTTTACTGTTCTCTGCTTAACTCCTTGTACCTTCAGATGTCCACCCAATCTGGAACAATCCTGCTGGAAAAAAAAGGATAGCAAAAAAGTCCAGTGACAATCAGAGGCCAATGGAAGCACTTGACCTGCAAAAAACAAGTGTCTAGGAAGCCCACCTGTTGATCTCAAAGAGTCTCAGTCTGTTTGCCACAGCAGGACTCTGTTGTAGTGGAAGGGCAGGGGTGGGTTCAGGTGGAAGGGCCAAGCAATTGGAGTGGATTGGTACTGCCCTCAAAGGCCAAGCTACATGGCTGTGAAAGTCAACAGATCTCCCCAATAATTCCATTGTAAATCCTCTTGCATCTCTGCCCACTCAGTGGGGAAATGGTGGGGGCCACAGTGCTGGCCAGAATGCAAAACCAAAGGTCAGTTCTAGTTATTTGCTAATATCAAGCTAACCACTTGCAAAGCCCAATGTCACCCCACCACCCTATGCACCTCACATTGTGAATGGTCCTAGCCCAGCTTATATGCCTCTGGTCAGTGCCTTTTCATACTGATATACAATGTTTGTTTCAGAATCCTGTCCCTCAGTCTTCAACAGCAGTAGCAACTCCTGTCTTCCATCAGCACCTCACAGACTCCCATTGCTTTGGTTTCAGTGGGCCAGCTCAACAGTCAGGTCACATCATGCCTCCTGGGATGGAACCTGACCTTCAAGTGCTCAATAATCCTTATATCACTGCAATTCAGGGAGACCAAGTTCCCAGTAATACATCTTGCCTGCCAACACCCCATCCCAACTACCAGTCTCAGTTTATTCCCCACCAGCCACCTGCTACCATCCCTGACTCTTGTATCAATCCCTCCCTTGATAGCTCACTCTCATTGAGACAAACTTTGGCAACTGCTGATATTTGCCACAAGAGTTCAGAGAAGCTGTCATCAGAGGGTTCCTCAAAAGAGGAGTTGGAGTCCTTGAGTAATAACCCATCAGATGCAGAGGCTAGTGAGGTCTCTGGCAATGAGTCTGACAAAGATGAAGACAATGCATTTGGATGGGGTGCAATGAATCTTAGGCAATCAACTCATCCTGGCATGCATCAGAGGTTATTATGGTATTGGCTCAATGTTCTTTGTTAGGCCTCTCCCAAGAAATGACAACAAACAATCCTATTCGCCACAATTCCTTACCCCCTGACCATGAGTTTCAGTACTCACACAACAAGGATGATTATTTGGCTCTGCAAAGCTTACAATCCAAGGACAAGGCTCAGCCAGAGGTACAAAAAGGCCATTCCTGCTAGCTTTACTTATTCAGATTGTTATTTTAGGGTTCCCAACATGGCACTGTCATCAATGTTCTTGAATGCCACCATTGCACTAATGGCTACCCTTCTTTTCCTGATTGTGAGCTTCTGACCCTTGTGCATGACTTGGTCAACAAAGTATCTCAGCATACCAGAGCCCCTTGTAACTCCAAGAATGCTAAGGATGAGGGCCCATTGCCCCCACAACTGAGATTTTACAAGGCAGTATGGAAGGGCTGTCTTGAAGATGCTAAGCAAGAATGCAGGGCTGCACATGCACTTTCTAACCCATTCCCATCAAAATCTCATGACCTGAACCTCTCCATAACAGAGGTGCTCATCATTGTTGTCATTGAGTGGAATCAACATGGTGTGCACTTTGAAGATGGTGAGTAACAATATTTTCACTTGATACATGTCTCATTATCCTAACTTTATAGGTTACTGGCCTGACCACAAGCAAGATATGGCATCCCTCATAAGTAGTCCCATCTTTCAGTTACAGCTACTGACATACTGCTGGTAGCTCTTTGGTAATACAGTGGCTCAAAAAAGTGTCCCAATGTTGGGTGATTTTGGAAGAATTTAAGATATATGAGAGAATCAGTAGGAATCAGTTCAAACTCCTACAGGACCAAAAGTAGCACTAACTGTTGCCTTGGCCACAAGGGCTTGTTCATGTAATTTGGTTGCATGGCACTGAGATATAACCATTTTAAAATGACATGTCATTGGGACACTTTTTTGAGCATGATGTTGTCAGTCATTATTTTAGTAAATAACATAAGGATTTGACAGCTTCTGAAGGATCTTTTGCTTCAATCTTGCCTGATTACATAATGTACATAATCCTGAGCCATAAAAATGGCTTAGTGACCACTCAGCTAACCCTACTCCACTGTGAAATGCATTTTTGTCTCTGCTTGAGCAAATATCCATCTTCTTTCTGAATTGGGCTTTTTGGCTCATCAAATATCCTCTAAAATTGGTCTGGGAAGCTCTACTGTGGCAAGAGTCATCAAAGAGTTCCAGCTAGATAAGGAAAATCTCAAAATGGGACATCCTTACCAGCCTTCTTCTACTAGCAGAAGGAGAATAGTCTCTAGTGTGACCTCCAGGAGAATTGAAAATGCCATCCAGGCCACCCATATAATAAGAGTGGCCCTTTCCTCTCCTGTCTCTGCCCAAACAGTTTTCAGTGTGCTCAATTCTGCATCCCTGACAGCTGTAGTCAAGCAGGAGAATTATCCTGCAAAGGCTGTGCTACCATTTTCCACACATATTTCCTTCCTTCTGACCCAATACTATTGATCTTGGGTTGAACTGACTAGATGACCCTAGTCCAGTCCCCAGTCCAGGTTTGGTGCTTAAGAGCAAAGGAAAGTCCCTGTTGCTTGTGCTTGCCAGACAGGAGTGGCTTTTCCTGCTTGACTACAGCCTTCAGGGATGTAGAATTGAGCACACTGCAAACAGTTTGGGTGTCAAGTTTGGGCCTACTCTCACCAATTCTGACACTAGACAAAGTCTGGGAAGATGTTTGAAAGCAAGTCTGGCACAGAAGATTGGAACTCTGACTGGTGGAGTGTCAGCAGGGATGAAGTCTGTCAAGACAGAGGTGGAGTGGAGTGAGGGTGTTGGGTTTAGCTCATGTGCTATCCCCTTGCACAATCTCAGCCCTTGTATTTCAGAGGTAACTCTGACAGACAGAAGATGGAGAGAGAGGGGGTAGGAACTAAGTCAATATTCATACTGAGGAACAACAGAGTATGGTACATGCTTTTATACTGCTACAGAGGTACAGTAACTGGAACCAGAACTGACATACAGAGACTCATAAATTTTCAAGTAAAAACTTCCTAGATGATGAATGAAGGGAAGACAGAGGACATACAATGGGTAACATAGAACAACCCAAAAAGGAAACAGTCCAAGTGCTGGACCATGCTGTCAAGGAGAAGTCCAAAGGGAGGTCACATGACTGCTCAGAGAATGGTCTGCATGGTCCAACAGTAAACCAGTACAAGTCTGACAGCAGTCAGAGTGGAGAAGGTTCATAACTACCAGAGGATGGGTGGAGTTGGTGCAGAATGAGTGAATGACTGGCAGAGAAGGATGCAGAGTGAGTGAGGACTTAGGATAAATGCATGGTCATGACATTGGGCAGAGACAGGAGAGGAGAGGGCCACTCTTATTATATGGGTGGCCTGGATGGCATTTTCAATTCTCCTGGAGGTCACACTAGAGACTATTCTCCTTCTGCTAGTAGAAGAAGGCTGGTAAGGATGTCCCATTTTGAGATTTTCCTTATCTAGCTGGAACTCTTTGATGACTCTTGCCACAGTAGAGCTTCCCAGACCAATTTTAGAGGATATTTGATGAGCCAAAAAGCCCAATTCAGAAAGAAGATGGATATTTGCTCAAGCAGAGACAAAAATGCATTTCACAGTGGAGTAGGGTTAGCTGAGTGGTCACTAAGCCATTTTTATGGCTCAGGATTATGTACATTATGTAATCAGGCAAGATTGAAGCAAAAGATCCTTCAGAAGCTGTCAAATCCTTATGTTATTTACTAAAATAATGACTGACAACATCATGCTCAAAAAAGTGTCCCAATGACATGTCATTTTAAAATGGTTATATCTCAGTGCCATGCAACCAAATTACATGAACAAGCCCTTGTGGCCAAGGCAGTAGTTAGTGCTACTTTTGGTCTTGCATGAGTTTGAACTGATTCCTACTGATTCTCTCATATATCTTAAATTCTTCCAAAATCACCCAACATTGGGACACTTTTTTGAGCCACTGTATATCTACCTGGTGTTTGGAATTGAAGTTAGTTATGCTGGCAACCACACCATCTGTGTTCAACCTTATCCCTCCTTCTGATGTTGCACCACAGGTTCATGTACAATGGATAGAGACCACTTCTACAAAGCTCCTTGACAACTCACTTTTCTTGTGAGACAGTTTTGATGAGAATGTACATTTGTGCAGTTCATTATCTGCACTACTAATGGATTGGTTTATCAGGGAAAAACCAGGAATTTCACTCACCTTGCCCTCAAGGAAGCTGTCATACAATTCTACTATACCAGTGTAGGGAGCTGTATACTCCCTGAGGCTGAAACAGGATACTGTCAGTAAATTCTGCTGCCTCTATGAAAAGCCCCTATCTCTCTGTGCCTTTGGAATTCTTTCCACTTGCTGCCATGTGTTGCATCCTACCCCCTTTCAGCTTCAGAGTTTCTTTAGTCATCAATAAGCTGATCTGAAGAAGTCTGCATTCACCCAGAGTCATCAATAGGCTCCACCCAGCCACATTGCTGGTCATCCATGCCAGTTCATTGCTAAAAAACTCTGGTTTCCCCTGTTGCCCCAAATTCCACAATCCAACTCCTCAAACCTGCATGCTTTTACCTTCTGCACTGCTGCTGTCCTGCCACCCCCCACTCTCTGCCTGTACACATAGCCTCATTCTGTTGGAAGATACCCCCCTTGCCCTTGTTCCTGTTACTCTCATTTACCATGTTCTAGACTATTTCACATGCATCTGTACTTCACTGATGGCTGTCATCCTTTCCTTTATTTTCCAGTCTTTTAGTTTTTCCACTCCACTTTACTCTGACTCATACCTATGTCCCATGTACTATAAAATTCCACCATAGTATCAGAAAAATACCACCCACTTTTGAAATCACTATTTGTGTGTGTGTTGCAAGTTCAAGAGTCCCCAGAGTCTAAAAATGTCTATCGAGTCTACAGCATCTACAGTGTCTCCAGTGTTCTCCATGCCTCCTTTGTCTCAGATATACTCTTCTTGTCCCATAACCATCCCTTGGAAATCCCTCATACCCAACTTGCCATCACTTGCATGTCAACAAGCCCTCAGAATTAAATTCTGCATTCCTTTCTCATATACCTATCCCTACCAGTGTGTCCCTTGACCTCTCCTTCCACTCAGCACCCCTTGGGACAACCCTAGGGAGTTTTGCCTACAGCCTACCTCTAATCACATGATTCCCAGAAGTCATGTCTCACAATGGTTTGGAGCCCACTGTGAGGGGTCTGTAGATCTGGAAAGGAGATCCTTATGACCCACTCATCAAAGAACTGAACTTGAAGAGCTCCTAGAGCCCTTCTGCAGACTATCTATTTCTTCATCAGAAATCTTAATCCCAGTAGCAGATCCCAGAGATATTTCAGAGCCACACTCATCAGACTCAGATCTTGGTTTAGATGAGATCTTTCAGAGTCCAGAGTCCCAGCATTTTTCCCAGCATTTCCTGGAGGCTTTGACTTTGATGAACCCTTTGCTCCCCCTGCCAAGCATCAAGAACTTTTGCCTCTATCAGAACTAACTTGTTCTTCATCCTTGCCATCCAGTGATTCAGAACTAGCTGCTGAACAGCTACTCCTTCCTTTCTACTCCTTAATTGTAAACCCTGCTATCACCCTTTCCATGCAAATACCCATACAGAATACCCCTGCCTCATCTCTCTCAAATTTTGCACCTCCCATTCCCCAAATTCCAATCCAGATCCCTGTACCACTTTGCATAATGTCTGGAGCAAAAGATATGCCACTCAGCAGTTCCAACAAAGCCCCAAATTTTTCCAGGCATACTGAAGATATCACCCATTACCTTGAAGATGTTGAACAACTCTGTCTTGATGCTGGTCTCATTTCTGGAAAAGATAAGATCCACTGGGTCATTTGTTACACTGACCACAATGAGGCAGAATTTTGGTCCACCTTAGATGCTGAAACCAATGGCTTCAATGACTGGGATGCATTCTCCAAAGAACTCCTGAACTACTATCCAGGTGCCTCAGTGAAAGATTGTCACTATACCAAAGGCAACCTCAAAACTCTACTCTACCATCAGGTTCAGAAGCCTATGGAGTCACTGGAAGATCTTGGGAAATACATCTGAGAATTCCAACACATCCTCAGCCTCATCCAGAAGAAGAAGAAACTCCCTGAGGACTGCATTAACAAGAAATTCCTTGAGGGGTTTCCCCCAAGGTTCTGGAATTCCTTGCTCATGTGATTGCAACTCTCTGACCTAGATCATGACATTGACAAACCATGGGAATTCGATACAGTCTACAAACATGCCAACTACCTCCTCAGTGGAGCCAAATGAAACCTCCCTCAGCCAGACTCATTGGCACTGTTTCCCCAGAATTCCACTCCAACTTCCTCACTGACTGTTCCCACTATCTTGAAATGAGAGTATGTTCATGTTGCTCAACAACCAGTCTCTGCCCTGCTTCCTCAGCAAGGACAAGAAGACCAATTCCACCATTCTTTCAATCCAGTGTTTCTTCTGTGGGGAACAAATGGCCACAAGACTGCAGAGTGCATGCTGTGTCACAAATATGTACAAGCTGGGAAATGCTCCCTGATTGGGGGAAGATTTTTCATGCCAGACAGCTCTGACATTCCTAGGACAGCTGTGGGTCAGAATTTTAAAGAAAAGATCAACAACTTCCTCACCATGCACAACTTGATCATTGCCTCAGCAAACCCCATCTCAGTTCAGCAGCCCAGCCAGCAGTCAACCTCATCCTGCAGGCACAATACTCCTCCCCATCTCATCAGCACAATGTTCTTCAGCAATGAGGAAGCCTCAGAATACCAAGTTGACTTACACCCTTCCTCCTATCTAGCTGACAAAGATCTAGAGATGAGTGCCAACAAAGAGGATCAATGTACCTTAGCAAGAGCTTATGTGCAGGTAGAAGAGTTGGAGAGTGCTATCAAAAAAAAGAAGATGGCTCATTTCACCAGCATAGAAATCCCAGCTCATCATCAAAGACCTACAGTAGCAGTCCCTGCATCATCCAGCTCCCTCTATCCCAGTCAGTAATTCTGCTCCAGCTAACCCTGCCTCTTCTTTGGAACCCCCAGCAGCTGGAAAAACTCCAGTCACTCCTAACCTTCCAGATCTCTGGAAACTTAAGCCCTCTACAAATTCTGCACCTTAATTCCATTACCAAAGCAGCTTTGATGAAGCTGCAGTGACCAAGTGGATTGTGAACCAAGTCTTAGACACAAAGATGGAAATCCCCACTAAAGACCTATTAGCTGACATGCCTTGTGTATGCTGTGTGGTTTGCTAATGTACTAGGAGGTAGGGCCTTTAAGTGATACAGCAGTTGTCATAATGCAAAGCAAATGGTAGGCTCAGCAAAGGGCTGGTTAAGTGGGAAATTTTTTATCAACTGGGTCACTCGTGTAGGGGATGGATTGCACTGGGACATGGGTCATAAACACAAAACAGAATGGCATGGAACATAAGTAAGGTCAAACTCTGGGTAGCTGAGTGACAAGGCATAGGATATATGTTTGATTCAATTTATACAGAACCAAAGTCAATGGCATATGGTACAAGGGGACAGCCAACTACAAGTTTTGGAGGTTCCCTGCACATTGAAGCATATACAATGACACAAGCATTGGTGGGCTGAAAATAATATCTTCATTCTTCATACAGTATGCCACACTAATGGGAAGTGGAGGGACTCACAGTAGGCTCAGTAACCACTTGAAATATAACCACTCCTACTGCATCTTTGCTGGTCCAAGTACAGGTAAGAAAGAGGTTGATTGGTGTTGAAGAAATAGTACCATACACATCTTATGCTCCTTTGCAATACCCAGAAAGATGGGAGATAAAGCCTCCACATCAGCACCATGTTGCTCAAATGCTGCTCTGATGAGTTTGGAAACAGTAGCTTGGACACTGGATGTCTGATATGTTGTGACAGCCAACTGAAAGTCTGTCTCCAAATCACTATTCAGTTTTTTGGCTTGCAACAAGAAGTATAAATATTCCAACACAAGAATGACACCTGCAATTGTTGGTTATAGGTGTGAAATCATGATAGGATATCAATTACCAATGCCATGTTCTGCAACAAATAGTATTGAATGCTGTGGTGACTTGGCCAAGATAGGTATTTGTTCATACAATAAGAAAGAAGTGGAAATGATAGGCTATGATATTGTCAAATGAAGTGATCCTTCCACAGCAGAATAAGGGAGACAAAACTGACCATCTGAACAATGTGTCATAGGACTATATCAGGTAATGTCAATGAGGAACAGGGCCACAAACCAACTACAACCACAATCAGCAATTATCATATGAATTCAAAAAAATGCACACCTTCTACACAAGGTATGTTAGTATGGGAAATAATTCTGAATGATGATGACTAACATGCTGATAAATGCAAATAGAGATAATGGTCAAATTGAACCTCCATGAAAATGTGCACCTACATCCTGAAAGATTGTAAAATATGAATGTGGTGTAGACACATCAATGGAACTCACTATCTATATAATATCGGCAGCCTGTTCAATGACCTTGAGTGAAACTCACATCCTATGACCAAAAACACATCAGTTTAGAGAGAAAAATGGTGAGCAGACATCTAGGAAAACCTGCTACAACTGTGCTCACATCCTAAAGACCCAACATCATAGTGGCAGTAATCATGGTCAGAATGCTTCCACCAGCTGCCATCACTCCACTCACACTCTATGAATGCAAGTCCAAAAGGGTGGGAGTGATCATGGTCAGAATGCTTCTACCACCTGCCATCACTCCACTCACAAACTATGAATGCAAGTCCAAAAGGGTGGGTGTAAACATGGTCAGAATGCTTCCACCACCTGCCATCACTCCACTCACAAACTATGAATGCAAGTCCAAAAGGGTGGGTGTAAACATGGTCAGAATGCTTCCACCACCTGCCATCACTCCACTCACATACTATGAATGCAAGTCCAAAAGGGTGGGAGTGAACATGGTCAGAATGCTTCCACCTCCTGCCATCACTCCACTCACTCCCTATGAATGCAAGTCCAAAAGGGTGGGTGTAAACATGGTCAGAATGCTTCCACCACCTGCCATCACTCCACTCACATGCTATGAATGCAAGTCCAAAAGGGTGGGTGTGCACATGGTCAGAATGCTTCCACCTCCTGCCATCACTCCACTCACTCCCTATGAATGCAAGTCCAAAAGGGCGGGTGTAAACATGGTCAGAATGCTTCCACCACCTGCCATCACTCCACTCACACTCTATGAATGCAAGTCCAAAAGGGTGGGTGTAAACATGGTCAGAATGCTTCCACCACCTGCCATCACTCCACTCACATCCTATGAACCCCAAGCCACAGCCATATTAGTAACCACTAAGTCAGATTTTTTATAATTTCACACACACACTGTTATCAAATCAGCATCTCATCCATACCACTCACTATTTTCTTACATAAGGAAACCACAATGAAAGCTTATATGAAAGGACTGCTGGTATAATCTTGTCAATAGCACCAGTCATGTACTTCTTCAATGACCTTGCACATATCAGTACATTTTTATCCTTCTGCTTTCTCACTTACCATGTTATTGCAAACTCCATACACAGTTCCAGGTTTGACTGCTGTGATGATATGAGGAGCTGCTGCAGTCCTTCCTCACTTAAAGCATTTGCTGTGCATGTTAGTAGGGGTGTACACTCAGCATCCTCTTTGTTCATCCCTGCAGTCACTTTCTATCAAACTGTGCCATTCTGGGATGATGGTTAGAATACTCACCAGTGAGTGACAGATAGTCATGGGGTGGAAACTGTAACTTATCCAACCAACCCCTGACCATTACAAGATACTCATTCAGATTCCTGCTTTCCACCTCTGCAACCCCTTTCATTGCATCATCGTCACTCATACCCTTTTCACTGAGCTCCAAAAAAGCATGCAAGGCCAAGGTATCTGTTTTTGTTAACAATACAATTACAGGAACTGGGACAAAAATGCTGATATTTAAAATCATCAAAGAGAGTATGGTCAATATACACACCATGCCCTGTATCACACTCTCCAAAAAACTTCTCTTCTGCAGCCATGACCATCCTGTGCCTGTCACTCAAAGGAATACAATACCTAAAACAATCACAGAAACCATGTCACTTTGATTACGGTGTCAGACACGGTGCTCCTACCATATGGCATGGATTCTCTTGTCAAGTTTGGTAGTCTTGGCACGATCCATCACAAATTTCTTGATCACGTCAAACTGCTCTCTTCTTCCAGCCTCAAATCCACACGAGTCATGGAATACAAAGCGCGGATTACTCTTAAAGACTAGCTCATCCTCGATGTTGTGGTAGCCACGCTGGACACATTCAACCATTCAACAAAAGCTGCAGAATATTCATGAAGTCACCTCACCGTTGTTAAACCCTGCACCACAGTAGCATCCACCTAAAGACAACCCGACACGTTGTTAATCTCAAACAAATACCATGAAACATTCACACCTTCTCTCCTTTTCCATTAAAAATTTCTGGTTTATCCGTAGTATTACAAACCCTCTGCAGAATTGTTGTTTTACCTGCATTGGCTCTGCCCATGACGAGAATGCGAAAGCGATCGATGCGATTGATGTACTTTCTAGCTTTCGCAGGATCTAAGCGCAACCCAGAGCGTGCGGAGGCTGACACTGATCATTACTGTCTTAGACTTGTCCCCCTCGTCGCAAGTACAACACTTACCGGTGGGTACTTCTTCAGTGTGTACAGGAACGGGAGTGTCCACACTTTCTTCCGGAGAACGTGGACCCGTGGGTTGCGCCTCGGTCAGTACAGGAGCAAGGGCACCCGGAACGCTTGGCAGAGAACCTGGTCAAGCAACTAAGTAAACTAAAGGACACCATAAAGAATGCGAGCGACCACCTTGAGCAGGGGCGGGAGCGGGAATGCCCACGTTGCTTGGGCTAGGGCCTGCAGGAGAATGTGGGCGGGTATTTTCGACCGCCGTGGCAGCACGCACACCCCCAGTATTGACTGAGGAGGAGTCGGAGGCTTCGATTGGAACTTCAGTCATTGCGGGGACGCGGATGTCTGTACTGGCTGGGGGCTGTGCAGCTCCAACGGGAGCGGGAACTTGCAGAACAACTGCGTCGTCGTTCGGAGAAGGCGGCCGCCAAAAACAACACAATGCCTTGAAACACGCCATGAATAATGAGAAGTCGAAGTTCTTTGGTATGTCGCAGGAGTAGGAAGTGTATAGTTCACAATGAAGATGGACGAGTGGAAAGTGCGTGGAGTGCGGACTGCTGCTGACCGATATGACGGCGCCTATCGATGATCATGTACAAATGTGTACTGGTGGTGGTGGCTTTTTCCGACACAAGGTGTGCACGTTTTGATTCAGAAAACTTTGAGTCAGCCTGCCATTATTATTACATTTTCCTATCAGTACCACTCAGGTGTCATGATTGAGTGTATCGCGAGGAAAAATATAACTGGACATATTAGAGACTCTAAGAGATCACATGTAAGAGCTGCGAACGGCACAGGAAAAAGAAAGAGAAACTAACTTAAAGAAACCGCAATTAGAAGCGCCTAAAGAGATCAAAAGTCAACCGAACTAATCGAAGGAATTTGGATGCGTCCTGTGGATCCGGTCTAAGCAGAGTGAATAAGATAACTGGAGAGAATACAGACAGTAAGAAACATTTTTGGGAAGATCATGCCACGTCGCAAGGGGCATTTACAATCAGGCAACACCAATCTCGATAAAACTTCTCCACTTCCACGAGGACGCGCGCTCGTCCGAATCAGCCCTTAGATCCATGAATCTGCGCAGAGGGAACCATAATTCAAGTGTACCCCGTCGTTCGCGTCCGTAGGTCATGGGTGTGGAGGCAGGTGACTGGTGAAGCTCCAACAACACTGCCTTCGAAATTGCGGGAAGTAACAAATTGTTCGCCGACGCAGAAGGCTCAACAGCGAGCGTCGTCCCGGGTAAAAATGACGGCGCGAATCGTGCAGGTGAGAGCGAGAGTTGTTCCCGGGTGCGCTGATAATCGTTTGGTCCAGGCCGTACTTTGTCGCTCACGAAGAGATACGAAGAATTGGGATCGCCCTGCCCTTCCTCAGTTCCCTCGTCCTTGGTATCTCCCATCGAGCCCTCGTCCTCAATACAAATGGTCGGCGCAAGCTACATCTCTTCAACTCTAGGGCGAGTAACAATTATATCCTGCTGGTTGCTCTCACCGTCACGCTCTTCGTCCCCACTGTCGAGGTTACTCTTTCTGCGTCCATCTCCACGCCAACGGCCTGTTGAGATGAGTACGTTCAGAGATGACCTATACGAAGATGTGTAGAGGGTGCAAGCGAAAGATGCGGACGCAATGGTTGCACCAGTCCAGGGTGTGATGGGCCCGGAGGTGCTGTCCTCATTCCCTTCTGCATCGGCAAGGGAAAAAAGGACTCGACGAAGGAGAAGGCAGGTGCGTTGAGTAGTAAAGTCAGAACTAAGTGAATGCCCAGCACTAACAGATTATTCTCAACATCAAATAACTTTTGTACAAAGGTAACTCCATATACTGGAGCATATTTCAATCTGGCATTCTTTGGACCAAATTACGGAACATTTTCGGTCGAAATTCAAAACATCTCCCGCATCGAGTCAACAACGAACTTTTGTGGGTTCCGTCCATGGATCTTCTGCCAGACATTTCGTGGCATACGTCACGCAGATATTGATGTGCAATACAGGTTCACGCTGTTCCGTCCTCATGTAGTTTACGGTGTCTATGAAGGCACCATCAGCAGCTGGATATGCGTCAAGAGCCTGATGATACGAAACTTCACTTTCAGTCCACTCGCGCTATTTAAGTAAACATTTAGTGGATTGGTTCATGGAACGAAGGAACTCGAGTCAGCGAAAGTTCGGTTGAGGTGGATGGTGTTCTGCTGTCTTCCCAGGGCCAGGTGTATCTCCGAGTCTGCAGGTCCACTTTTGTTGGTGAGCGGGTCACTTTAATTTGCATATATTCGGGTGCTGGTGTTCAGTTATCACTGCATCGCATCTTCATAGACTTCACCAACTTCAAGCTTGGCTGCAAATATCTAACTTAGCGCTTTCCTCACAGGTTGTAAGTGGTACGTACACAGAATCTTGGCATCGTGTCTTTTATCGTGTCGACTATACTGCGCGTCCATCCGGAGCAAGTCAAGTCAATTGAGATCGGAAAGCTATGTGAGGTGTTATTACTCCTGGCTATACTCGCATCGCAGCTGACGACGAAGCCTAGCAATACTTACCGGTTTACTTCGAGGTAGCATGACTGTATGTGGATGCACCAGGGTTAGCTGCAGTGGGGAGCCGAACGAGCGGGCCAAGACATGGTAAGAGCCCATTGTTAAGTTATATTCTCCAACCAACTCTAGCAACAAGAACAAAAAAGTGGAATGTAGTATAGGTATTTCTGCATATAAAACCTTTGCGGGATGGATACATACATATACTTTCCGGAAGAAGAAAACAAAAAGACCAACCCGACTTGAGACCGCAGACGGACTCTGACTCTGACAGAGCTGTAAATACTAAGGTAGCGAAAGCGTAACTAACTACTTTAGTAGCACCTACTAGTTACTTATAGCAGCGTTACGAAAGGGAACACTTCCAGCCGTGCACCGCAGGTGGACGTACGTACGTACGTACGCACGAAGGAGTTACAGCGTTTTGCCTATCCGTAAGTAAAGAAAGAAACCAATTTGAAGGAGGGAAGTCAAAAACGAAAAGGTGGAGAACCGGACCATAGAAAAAATATGTCACTCAGATGAAAGCGTCGTGAGGGAGAGAGAGAGATTGAGCACTTGTGCATATGTATAACGCATCAACTAAAATGTGTCGTATAGGTCGTCATCGCAGCAGCAATCGAGAGAAAAGAAAAGACAGAAGAAGAAAAGGAGAAAAGAAAAGGATAGTGAATGAACCACGCGAGGGTCACAAATCATAACTTTAATTCGGTGAGAACTCTCCTAGCGAGCATTTGATATTGCCAGCCGTCACCACCGACTCTGCGGAATTGTATTCCATGCAGAGGTAACCATGGTACCTAACATAGAACGAAACAAAACGAAGGGCTCAACGTTCGAAAGGGCCAAATAATGCGAAAAATTTCAAGACACGCACCTTAACAATATTGATTTCGAACCGCACAGAAAGCGAGTTGGCCCCTATCATCTCAAACACCTCATGATCCACTTCTCCCGTCGGGAACGGCGTAAGTTTCGAAGGTGTCGGAGTTCCGGGCTGTTGAGGTTGTTGTTGAAGTAGAGGCGTCGCAGCGAAATCTCGGGGTATGGGCGGTAATACCTTGGTTTTGGCGGGAGAGTGTGGCCGGAGTATCTGCTCGTCGAACACTGGAGCGGCGGCATTGGGAGTATTATAAGTTTGTTGCTGCTCTTGCTGCTGGTTAGGATGATGGCGGGATCCTTCAGCAGCGAGGACAGTGTGCGCATTAGAGGAGACGTTGAAGAATGACGACGACCCGCTGCTCGGCGTAACGCTTAAAACGGTGCCAACGGATGGTCTGTGAGGGAGTTCTTTCTCCAATACATTTGGAGCATGATCACTATGTTGCTGTTGTTGTTGTTGTTGCTCCTTCTCCTTCTCTTTGATACCTTCTCTCTCGCGGTCCCCCTTCGATTTGACACCAAACGACAATTTGGATGCCTTCTTGACGAGTGATCGAGCTGTGATACCGGTCTCGTTGGACCCAGAAGATCCCTGACGACGATGTTGACTGGTCCGGGGCTGCGTAGATGACGACTCGGGTGGCGGGGAAGAAATAGCAATGGATGGGATGTGGATGCATTCGAAGCCGCCTTTGATCTCGCGGTATTGGACTTGCATCCGATCTAGGACCTTCTTGATCTCTGTCTTGAGGACAGATGGCGGCTTGGTCGTAGTCGTCGAAACGCTACGAACATGCGATGATGAGAGGAGTGCTGTGATGCAACGAAAAGCACATACCTAAACAATCCCTTCAGATGCACGGGCTTAAAGTCCTTGGCGTTTTGTTCTCTATCTGATTCAGTACGTCCATCACCAGCTTCCTGCTCTCCCACGTAATTCTCCTCCACCTCATCCGTACGTCCGAACTGTGCCCCTCCGACCCCAGCAGGACGGCCACTAACTGTACTGTGGCCAGTCGATGGCCGTCGATGTCGTCCGATGGACGCACCGATGCTGGGTAGGAGTACACCACCGGTACTGCTTCGCCGTTCGTGGCGCATAGAACGGCCCTGCGGATCGAGAATCGTCGCCGCCCGTCGATGGACATGGGCATTTGCCAACGGCTGGCTCTGGCTGGCGGAGATCGAAGGTGGAGCATAAGTGCTTTGACGTCGAAGGTCTCCTCGTTCAAACTGGCTGTTGGCTCCGTTCGCGGTCGGCGCGTTATCGTTGTCGGTATTGGTAGTACCCGCTCTGAGAGGTATACCGCCCACAATCGTCGTACGCTTGCCAATGCTCCTCTTCTCGTGCTGTTCGCCACCACGACCACCGAGAAGCGTCCCGAAGCGCTTAACGAGGGTTACACCAGCCGACAACGGCCCATCGTGTGTTGGTTGTTGAGATGGTTCCCCCTCTTCCCCGCCTGTGCCTGCGACGCGTTCTTTCTCCGTGGAGAACACACCGAACTCGGGTCCAGCTGTATGTGGAACTTGCATCTCTTCAGGTTGCTCGTCGACACGGCTTTCCCGGGGGCCAAACACGCCGCTGAGCCCGCGCAACATTGTCGGGCGCTGGCTCATGCTGTGGCTGCGACGATGGGTCGATGCGGGCGGCGCACGTGGAAGGGGTGCTGTGGTGGGCGGTATAGCGGAAGTGACATCCACTGGCGGTGAGACGATGGTTGGCGGGACAGGGAGCCCAGCATCGCGAGGCCGTGGCTGACCGTGGAATGCAGGGGTGGCGGGTGTGGCGGGCGCAGCAGAGGTTGCGTCATAAGACATCCCTGAATAGTGTGACGTCTCCGGAGCAGGCAGACGTGGGAGAGGCATGCTGTAGTCGGCTTTCGCAGACATGGGCGCCGGGAACTGCTGCGTGTCCCTGCGCGATGAAAGGGAAAGTGCCTTCGGGTTGTATGCGGATGGGGCGGCGCTAGTTTCGTCAGGGGAAGGAGCGTTGGCAGGTGGGGCGTTGTTGGTGATGGACAACTGCGAGCTCGCAAAGTGGCCGGGACCGTACACGCGCTCGCGCTCCATCTTCTCGCGGGCGAGGTAGTATATCGAGATAAGAGGATCGAACCCGCGAGTTGGATCTGGGGGCTCGCGAAAGCCATCGTTGATGGACAGGTGGGACTGTGAGGTCGGTGGGGAGTGGGTCGGGGTGACTGGAGGCGACGAGCCGGGGGAGAAGAACTTCTTTCGGTAGAAGTCAAACCCGGAAAACCGTTTTGACTTCTTAGGAGTCATCATGGAGTCGCTACTGCCTTTGGGATTTATGTTGTTGTTGGATCCGTCATAGGAGACAGCCAAGGACGAGTTTGAGAAGGAGTCGCCCCAACGATTTGATGAGGTGCCGTTGCGACCGCGCTTGCGACTATAGGCACTGACGGCACGAACGTAGGGCTCGGACTCAAGGATTTCGACGAGCCTGTGTTCGATGTCTTCTTCTGACCCGAATTCGAAGCCTTTCATGCCCCTGATTACTTGGCGATCCAGTTCGTCGGCACGGAGAGGCTCGCGGTGGACGAGATGGGAATCTGGGGGACCGCCGAATCCTCGGACCATCCATGGATGTTCGAGGACTTCCGAGAGGGTCGCGCGTACGGCGGGATTTGTTACGAGCATCCGTGAGAGGAGACCCTTGCACTCTGAGAAACGATCGGTCAGCGGAGAGCAGCATACCGCATGGCGGACGTACCAGCGCTGAGCCAGACAGGGTATTCGACGAGACCACGCTTGATCTTTGCATGGAGAGCAGGCATGCTCTGATCGTCGAACGGGACCTTTCCGCAGACGAGGACGTAGAGGACGACGCCGAAGCTCCATACGTCGACTTCTGGGCCGGTGTAGACCTTGGCGTTGAGGAGTTCCGGTGCTGCGAAGTAGAGGGAGCCACAGAAGGTGGAGAGATGGCCGGTTGGATCATAGAGGTTGGAGAGGCCAAAGTCGATTATCTTGATGTTACCGGTTTCGGATATGAGTATGTTCTCGATTTTGAGATCTGGGTTTTTGCTGTGAGTGGGTGGATAGGGAGAGGGATAGGGAGCTTACCGCGATGGACGACGTTGTTGCGATGCAGGTAGTCGAGTGCACTGCCGATTTGACGGGCAAACTTGCGTGCGACACGTTCGCGCAGTCGACCGTGGCTGATGATGTAGTCGAGCATCTGACCGCCGTTGACGTACTCGAATACCATGTAGTAATGATGCTGATGGATGATCATCTCACGCATGCCACATATGTAGGGGTGGTGGAGGAGCATGGACAGGGCCGCCTCGCGGATTGTTCTGATTTCCTTTGAGGCGTCTTTGGAGGCCTGCTTTGCGATGGCCTCTGGGGTTGCATTTGAGCCGTTGGGTATGGAGGCGGCGGGGTGGACGCGGGGGAGGATTTTTATTGCAAACTGTTTGGGGAGGGCGATGAGAGGGCGGGGAGGGAGAGAGGGGGGGCAGGGCACACACCTTCTCCTCAGTGATGTTGTGTATGGCGAGCTTGACCTTGCCCATGCTTCCAGCGCCGAGTGTTTTTGTGAGGGTGTAGTCGCCGAGGACCCTTGTTGATCCCCGGGTGGGCTTGTTGGTGATGGAGCTGGAGTCTCTGTGCTGGCGGTGTTTTGGGTCAGACACCGGGGCTGGCTGGGGCTGAGCCGGGAGCGAGTAGGCCTGTGGGGGCATCGAGACGGGCCTCTGGTGGTGGTGGCGACTCTGTCTGTGTTGTAGCAGGACGGTGGGGGCAGGCAGAGGACGCGGAGGAGGCTGTGGTGGCTGGGTGGGCAACTGCAGGTCAAACAGCTCGTCATGTCCCACAACCAACCCGCCTCTGGTCTCTTCCGGCACCTGGCCAAGCGACGGGACAAGCGATGCTGGATAGAACGCCGCCATGCAGTGGAAGAACGACAGACAAGTGGCAGTTTTTACTCAGTGCTAGTCGTTATTATCGCCAATACACTACTCCTTAGCAAGCTAGCACGGCGCCTATCAGCAGGCACAGCTACAGGAAACTATTTCCTCCACTCCACAGGATGCCTATTATACACCGGCCACGGGGGTACTGCCATCTGCAAGACGCTCAGCGTGGCCATCCCCCCAAATATCGTTACATACCACGAATAGGAGTAGCGTGGACAGCGCAAAAGTGCCCATCGTCGCTCGCAAGGACTGCAGAGCAAACCCAACCACAAACGATACCACCTGTCGGACACATCAACCATAAATATACGCTCGTCTAAGGGAATGTTACCGTGCTCGTTGCCAACCATATCCGAGAGATGCTGTCCACCCTCTTCTGGCCGATAAAATCCTAAAGAACAACGCCTTAAATGACCACCCTCACAAGACCTTCCTACTCACTATCTTGCCCTCGAAGATGTCCTGCAGCGGTGCCATGCTGGTGTGTACACAATTAATAGCGTTGGCCACGGCAAAGGGTCCAGGCGGTGATTAGTCAGCATTGCGCGTCGCGAAAATAAATGAGCGCGTCTGAACCAAAACAACGACAACAACAATGTCGAAAAGTCCTGCGCCGTCGTCCCCGGGGCAGTTTGCAATGTCGTCGGTCCCGGCGAGCACCCCTGCGTCCTCGCCGCCGCCCAGCGAAGAGCCGGGTATCGAGACTGTCTCGTCTCGACAGGTGAGTGGTGGCTCCTCGACCCAGTTCAGATTCTAACACGCGTCTTTTGCAGCTCTCTGAGGTTCCCTTGCTGGACGACGACGACGTACGTACGCGTATTACTTGTCCCCGCACGCGTACTGAAGCATTTGTACCCAGGAATTTCAAGGACGTCTGGCTCGCCTCGAACGTATTCTCGACAAATCATTCACCTACTCTCAACTGCTAGGCGAACAGATGGACAAGGAAAAACGCACATCTGCTCTTCGCGCGGCCATGGCCATGTCATCGAAACCAAAGTCGACAAACGCGTCGACGACGACGCGCAGACGTGGCGCGCTCCAGCGTGCCCCTCGAAAACGCCCTCGCTGCAGTGATCTTGAACCTGAACACAATACCAAAGACGCGGATGAGGTAAAGGAAGAAGCTACCAACCCCGACGCGAATGACCCCTCGGCACCTCGTCCAAAGTTCTTGCAGCCCTCCCTCATTACAGGTGCAACACTCAAAGACTATCAACTCGATGGCGTAGAGTGGATGGTGTCCCTCGACAAGAACGGCGTGTCCGGTATTCTAGGTAGGGCCTCTCATTGTCTAATTTTTACAACTCGATATGACGTGCTACCAAACGTACAGCCGACGAAATGGGTCTTGGAAAAGTAAGAAAGACCGTCCCTTGTGGTTCCTTCTGACCAGAAGTTTCCCTAGACTCTCCAAACCATCGCGTTCAACGCTCATCTCCGCGAATTGGGTCATTTCAGACCGTTTCTGATCGTATGTCCGCTCAGCGTGATACACAACTGGATAGAAGAGTTCCGTCGTTTCGCTCCGTCGGTCGGTGCAATCATCCTTGAGCTGAAATCTCTCTCATTTATGCATAGATCCCGGTCTGCATGTATCATGGGTCTCCTACAGATCGTGCCGAGCTCCGTCGTACCGTCATGCGCGAACCGGATGATGGGTCTGAAGACACCGCACAAGCTTTTGAATCTGTCATGGTCAAAGAAAAACTATCACAGCCCAACCGAAAAGGCAAGAGGAAAGCAACGAAATCTAGTGCTCGTGCGGCACCTAGACGCAGCATGTTTACCCGAAAGCGCAAAGCCGAATCAGACGAAGACGACGACGACTACCAGGAGGATGATCAGGAAAGCGACGAGGAAGAGGCTCCTCGCGCGCGGCATACCAAGGCCAAGAATAATACCAAGAACAAAAATACCCGTTCGCTACCTGTTCAGACCCGGGAAACTTTCCCGTGGTAGTGACAACGTATGAAATGATCATTCGTGACCGGCCTCAACTCTCGAAATATAACTGGGGATATATTGTCGTGGACGAAGGACATCGTCTCAAGAATCTAAATTGCAAGCTTATACAGGAAATAAAGCGGTACCCCAGTGCTGGACGGATGATCTTGACTGGAACACCGTTACAGGTAGGTTCATTGCGACGCGCATGTGCGCTGGCTCACCAGATAACTCGGTAGAACAATCTTTCGGAATTGTGGTCTCTGCTTAATTTCATACTCCCAGATATCTTCGACGACCTTGATTCGTTCCAAGAGTGGTGCGTGTCTTCATTCACATTTTACCGCCCTACAGGATTTCGCTTCTAATGATGTATTGCTGCAGGTTCAATCTCGGGACGCTCCAGTCCCGTTTCTCACCATCTCAAGCAACACAGCTCATCTCTACTATCCACGGCATTCTCAAACCCTTCCTCCTCCGCCGTCTCAAGGTTGACGTTCTCGGCAAGAGCTTACCTCCTAAAAAGGAATATGTGATATATTGTCCGCTGAGTGTGGAACAACGGCACCTTTATGATGCCATCGTGGAGGGATCATTGAGACATCTGCTTTTGTCGCGTGGCGGTGAGAATGCAGATAAGAAGAAGATCGAGATCGACATGAATGCACCTCGCAAGTTGAGGGATAAGACGAAGTCAGGGGTAGTGGCATATGATGTTGATGGGAGCGATGACGACGAGTATTTTGAGAACCTGGATGAAGGAGGCGTAGAGCAGCCAAAGAATGCTGAGAATGACTTGGCAGAGCTGGGTCGGCAGCATCGATTGCGTGAGAGTAGTACGTGCTCTTTTTTCATGTCATTCTGGTGAACCTGGCTTGACATTGAACATGACAGTCAAGGGCATCAATAACCTGCGACTGCAAAACAGCGTCATGCAACTGCGAAAGGCGTGCTCGCACCCACTACTGTTTGATGCTGGCCTCACAGAGGCTGAAGCACTCTCTGGAACAGCAACTGCAGAGGAGCTCGTTGACACTAGCGGGAAAATGATGGTCCTTGAACGGCTGCTCGACGAATTGTTTGCGAGGGGACACAAGGTGCTGCTATTCAGTCAGTTCACGACTATGTTGGATATCATCGAGGTAGGCTGCGTCTCGCATCATGAGATCTCACCCACTGATATGAAACTGTCTCTCTCTCTCTCGAAAAGACTTGGGCAACGGAATTGAAAGAGTGGAATACCTGTCGAATTGATGGCAAGACTCACCCATTGGATCGAAGGGAACAGATGAACACTTTCCAGCAGGGCGGCGATCGCCCTGATGCGCCTCGTCTGTTCCTACTTAGTACACGTGCAGGGGGGTTGGGCATCAATTTGACTGCCGCAGATACCGTCATCTTTTACGACCAGGACTGGGTAGGTCCCCAATCTTTGCGCCGGCTCCACGTGCGGCTGGTGTAAAAGAGTATACTAGGATACTGATTGTCCATTTGTTTGATTTCCTTCTTCGCGCCGCATCACCACCATCTTTGATCTCCCATCCCGTTTAGAACCCGCAAATGGATATCCAAGCGCAAGATCGAGCACACCGGATCGGACAGACCAAACCCGTGTTGATATTCCGACTTGTGACCGCACACACCATCGAACAGCGGATCATGCACCGTGCAAGTGAGAAGCGGCAGTTGGAGGCGTTGGTGATTGCTAAAGGTGGGGGTTTTTCTCGTGACACGTGTTATGGGTTAGGGGGCAGGACCCCCCGGCGCTGACTTGAATTCGGGAATAAAAGGGAAGTTCAAGATGCCTGGACAGACTGGACGAACGAAGGCAGAGGTGCTTGGGGAGATGGCGACTGCACTTTTGAAGCTCGAGAGCGAGAATATCGAGGTTGTCCCTGTGACGAGGGAGGGGAAGCGCGGGGTGTTGAGCGACGAAGATTTGGATATGCTACTCGACCGGAGCGAAGCTGTGTTTGTGGACCGCGGAAAGGGATGGTCTGCGGGCGGCGGTGTTGTCGTTGCACATGCACACGACACCACTACCGGTAAGCCAGTTTCAGGAAGAGAGGACGATGGTGAGGTGGGTAGTGGGGCCACCGCAGTACCAGCGGCCTCGGCCCCGCCAGTGGTTGGTAAGAGGGCGGCATTTGCGGTGTACGAGGCGCCCGTGAATCAGGCGAATGAGTGGGTATCTAAACTAATGGGTGAGGACGTTTCAGAGTGACCTTGTGCAGAGGAGGGCTTGGCATATATGATGGGTATACCAGTACATTATGGGTGTCATATTTAGACATACATAGTAGATATGATGGATCAGATCTTTGAGGTCGTGTCTCAGCATGTCGGACTGTTTGGAATGTCACCTTGTCTACAGTTCGTCAAGCCACGTTACACCTAATTAGTCCGCATAATTGGGTATATCGACCACTGCCTTTCCCCGCTGTGCAAGTTCATACAACAAAACGAACGATAAGAAACCTTGTAGACCCACCGGATTTCCTCGCTACCGTTGCTACTTGTATTAATATTGTTGCGTGCATGTGTTTTTCCTTGGTAAATAAGGTTCTAATTGCCGGTGGAGACGGCCTTCTTCCAGTAGTAGGCAGACATCTAATTTGTTATGTGTAATTGACGATAAAACGGATAAGAAGAACGAAGCCGAATTGACGCCAGCTGTCCGTTGTCGTCTGCACACGCACACACTCCCACTCCCTCATCCTCCCGCCAGTGCTAGTGACCATCCGTCATGTTGGCACCCGTGCTAGCGCAGTTTGCTGACTCCACTGACCACTCTTCATTGATGTCGAGCAAGCATGGGAAGGCTCTCCTTGTTAATGACAAGCTTGGGCCTGTAAAACGAGTTGTCGATTTACCCCCGGAATTGTGGACTGCTGTGTTCTTGCAGACAGATGGTCGTACGATACTTAGATGTTGCGCGGTGCGTATGCCTTTTCTTTGTCTTTTTTTTCTTCTTCTCCTTTCTTTTCTCTATCGTAATTTTTCATTCTGACGAATAAGTACGGGTGTATTAGGTATGTCACAGATTCAACGATATCATCGAAGGATCCGTAGAACTCCAATACCGAATCGAACTAACCGTAGACGGGATGATCGACGGTCCCCCGAGCTCCCTCTCCATTGGAGAACGTCTCACCCGTCTCCGCGCGCTCCGCCGATCCTGGGCAACCCTCCAATGGACGTCCAAGATTACCGTACCGATGCCGGGCCCTTGCCATGCCTACGAGCTCGTCGGCGGTGTGTTCTGCAAGATTCATCATTCGGCAAGGCATAGGTATAGCTCGAGACATTTGACCGCGGCGTGGTTGCCGTCTGCGTTGGATACGGAGGGTCAGATGTTGGTTAGGGACGATGTGGGGTTGCCGACGAGAGATTTTGCGGTGGATCCGTCGCAGGATTTGATTATATATTTTAGGGGTAACGATATCGATGCTTTGTGAGTCCTTTGTTGTTTTACGTTTCCCTTGTCGGTCTCGAAGTCGGGGGAAGTCGGGGGACCGGGGAGGAGAGAAGGGGAGGGGTTCTCCCGTCGGGGGTTTTTTTTTTTTTGCTAGTGCCAGGGGAATATGATCAGGCTGACATTTTATCTTTCGCACATATAGGCCAGCGTTGGTCGCTCCCGGTGCGGTGGAATTACACGTCCGGACGCTTTCCACCAACGACGGTCCACCCAGACGCTCGTTCGGCTGCGCTGCGCGTGCCCGTTCTCCTTCCTGTCACAAATGCATTCATGCAGATCGTCGACGATATCGTTGGTATGCTGTACTTTATCGAACCCGAGCGACCACACATTACGTTGTGGAACTGGAAAACTGGGAAAGTCGTCGTGGTACGTTTTCTTCCTCCGGCACTACTTCGATGTCTAGATTTTTTTTGGGTGCATGAGGCCAATCTACGTTTCTAGAACCAATCCACTTTCCACATCCCACCCAACACATGGGACTTCTCATTTATCTCGAACCGTGCATTCTTCGTCACCACCGTCCAGACATACGGCACTATCGACATCTTCACGTTTGACGGTGACCCTGCTGAGCCTGATCAATCCGACAGTTCACTCCTCCGCCCCCTCATTCGCGCCTAACAACACGTATAGATTCATTACCCAGCCCAAGTCCAATGTAATCCATGTTGCCTCTTTGCACCTTCCCCCTACCCTTCCGCACATCCGGGTTATCAATCTTTCCACGCATACGGGGCCCTTCCTGGCTCGGCCTCCTTCTGGCAGACCATTCGTCGCCGCCAACGAAGAGAGGATACACGTCTTTTCTGTGCAGTATGTCAATCCGAATCCCGACGCTGTGAGGAGACAGATGCGGTTCTGTGTATTTTTGAAGAACAGCACGCTGGAGAAGTACATAAAGAAACACCACAGTAGGACTGGTACTGGTGCCGGTGGGGAAGGATTGAATGGGCCTTTGGTGGTTCCGTGGGAGGCATGGGGGAGGGAAAATACGCGGTTCATGGTACATCATTGGAACCAATTCGAGTGGCTAAGGTAACGTTGCATTTGCCGTTACATCTGGCATTTGGCGGAACGCCCCTGATCGCAGTTGGAGCAGGTACGTGCACGGCCACAGAGTCGTCCTGCCAGCCCCCCGAAATGGAAGGGCAACGATGTACGTTCTTGATTTTAATGTGCACGATACCGTGCGGCAGAACCAGTATTACCGTGTGGACGATGGCGATACGACGGACGCATCGAAAGCCGATGCGATCTCAGTTGGCGCTCCGCCTACACCTACACCTAGTAGGGACCTATGGAACAGCATCGCCACCAATGGAGAGCTTCACCGAATGCCAACGGTTGGACATTCTGAAGAGGAAGGATTGGACAATACCGGGGAGGATGACGATGGACCGGTTGTCTTTGCGTCGGATCCGCTGCAGATAAGGTCTTTCATCAGGCAACGATTTGCTATGCACCAACAACGACTTCGGCAACGTAATACCGGTTCTAAGCGCGCTAGCCTTGTCACCGAGCCATCCGTCGAGGAGTACCCATTGTTCTTCTCTGCCCCGTTCGAGACCGCGCTCCCATATCGCGAGTTGCAGCATGAGCAAGAGGTGGAGTATTCTGGGATTATGGTGGACGAGGAGAGAATCGTGGGTCTTGAGGTCAGTGACATACGCTTTCACCAATGGAGCTGGTGTGGCTGATAATTGTTTCTCGGACTGCTGCTGATAGTACCCTGCGTTTTTAAATGGAGATATGAAGGATATTCATGTCTTCACGATGTGAGAGGAGGCCGTTGCCAAAATTTCAGATATTTGTGTGTACGTTTGGTTGTGCTCCTATCATTTTTTTCTTCTGGATGTGCTTGCTCACTACTCACTACGTATACCCAAGAAGTCTTGCGTGATCGAATGAAACTTCACATGTTAGCTTGTTTGCATTTCTTCTTTGTACTATCGTGTACTACTACTGTACTGACTCTAACATCTGGGACCCAAAATACATGACAATCCTCTTCCGACCATATGACGCTGACGATGTCGTTAGTGATTGTCGTTTTCAGTGACTTTCGCTCAAGTACCTGTGCGGCTCGAGAACGGTTACATAAACTGCCTCCTGAAGGTCTGATATCGCGCGCAGGTGATCTACTGTATGTAAAGTATGTAACTTGACAGCCAACGCCCTCCCACACACCGCCTCGTAACCGGTTGCTATGCATTGTCAAGAATGCAGCGATAAGCTGGGAGTGCTTCACACGACCAACTTTGGCCGTCTCCACCGGAGCGTAGAGATAAGGAAGAAAGATTATACGAGGCACGCAGCTCTGACAAATCCAGACCCTGACTGATGGAGATAGACCCGTCCAACGATATACCTCACTGCCTTGGGAACCCACTCGGTTCAAGGTTGGGTGAGCGTCTAATTTGTGCTCTCCGTACCCTCTCTCGTAGCTACTACCTTATTCCGTCAAACTACCACCTATATGTCTGGGAGATCTGCGAACAACGAGAAGGCCGTCGCTCCCGTCTCCAAGGATGACGACGATGAGGCCGAGCTTGCGCGCATGGGTTACAAGCAAGAACTAAGGTGAGTCACGAGACAGACGTTTTCTTAGCGCTCCAGTGACATACATGAGCAGACGCGAGCTCTCCCTTTTGCAGGTAAGCATGAACAGTGCCAACTGATTGTTCCAAACGATGGGGGGTTTCGATGGAGATGTGATCATTATCACCCTGTCAGAACTTTGGCGTATCGTTTTCCATAATCAGTATTATTACGGGTATACCCTCCCTTTTCTCGTATGGGCTGGTAGGTGCAATATTCGCTCGGCGATGCTCTAGGCACACAAATAAACTAATAAACTACAGAACACCGGAGGTCCTGCGGTAATGGTTTGGGGTTGGCTCATCGTCTGTCAGTTTTCCCAGAAAGCAATTGCCTATGTATATATTCGTTCCCTGATTCCCCCCCCCCCCCCCCCCAGCTTGTACGACTATGCTAGTCGGACTTGCGATGGCAGGTATGGAGGGTGTTCATGGCCTGGACTGATTTATCCCGAAGTGACCCTTTTCAAGAAATATGTAGTGCACACCCAACGAGCGGTGGACCATATTACTGGGCAGCCATGTTGGCGAACCCTGAAAGTGCGCCGCTGGCGTCATGGATTACGGGTTGGTTTAACCTGCTTGGCCAAGTAGCGGTTACCACGGGAATCAGGTCACGAGGGTTCAACTTTTTTGAATGTTGCAGTTTAGCTTGAGAGTTGTGTTTTTGAACAGCTTTGCTTGCGCAAACTTCCTGTCTACCGTGGCTGAGTTCGGGACAAGCTTTGTCCCAACTCCCAAGACGACAATTGGCATATACGCTGCCGTGTTAGTCAGTCAGGGTAAGTCCCTTCGTATGTATCCCTTCGGTTTTCATGAACGATCATTTATAGGGCTGATAAACACTTTCGGCGTGCATCTGCTCAAGTATTTGAACAATGTCTCTGTTTGGTGGCACTCCCTTGGAACTACTTCCCTCGTGATAGCTATCCTCGCCCGGGCTCCGAAGCACCAATCAGCCAACTTCGTCTTCCGTACTTTCATTGATGGAACCGGGGTAAATGGGAACGAAGGATGGGGGACCCGTGCAAGCCATGCGTATGTGTGCATAATTGGGATACTGATGGCTCAGTACACCTTGACTGGTGAATAAATCAACAATCTGCTCAGCGTGAGTTCGTAACTAACGAAAATATATTAAGGATATGATGCGAGTGCTCATGTATGCTTAATTCGTGTTTCCTCGCGTGGTCAAATGCAGTTCTAACCTCTAGCATAGATGACAGAGGAGACTCATAATGCTGCTATGGCTGGGTCCGTCGGTATTATCATGGCCCTTGGCGTTTCTGCGGTTCTAGGGTGGTTCCTTATTCTCGGACTCCTCTTTTCGATACAAGATCTGGAGACCACCCTCAGCTCATCCACTGGTGAACCCGTTGCACAAATTTTCTTGGATACGGTGGGAGAAAAGGGTGCGATTGTATTGATGGTCATCGTCATTGGAGCCATGTACTTCTGCGGGTAAGACATTTCGTGGCTGCCAAGGAGTAAAGCACTGATGGTCGCTTTCTGCGAAGAACATTTTCTGTCACGTCAAATTCCCGGATGATGTTTGCTTTCGCTCGTGATGGTGGTATACCTGGACACAATTTCTTCCGCAGAGTCGACGCTAAGCGCGGAAATCCTGTTCGCACTGGTATGTATGCGTCGTTGGTCCATCCTTCAAATAGATCGTCATGAGCTTCCGTGTAGTGTGGCTGGCATGCACCCTTAGTTTCTGTCTCGGCACTTCCGAGTCTCGGAAGTTCGGTCGCCTTCTCGGCCGCGACTAGTATCGCAACTATCGGTCTCTATATTTCTTATGGTACGTGACACTCTTTGCCTTGATGAAGTTTGGCGGACGTGCAAGGCCCTGTATTCCTTCCGTTCAACATTCGCAGGCATTCCGATTGCGTTGCGTGTAATTTACCGGGAGCGATTCGTTCGTGGACCTTTCCATCTTGGTGCATTCTCAATGCCAGTTGCTATTGGCGCTGTTGTGTGGATAGCGTTCATCGCCATCGCCTTCATCCTTCCTCAGGCAAATGTAAGTGCTTTCCTTGCCACTACCCGAAAATCGACGTGGGTTTTCCGCATGTTGCGGAATTCTCCTGCGCCCTAATTTGACCCGTCAGCCTGTCGATTCTCAAACCCTAAATTATTCTATCGTCTGCGTTGGCATCGTCGCTCTGTACAGCGTGGGATTTTGGTTGATCAGCGCTCGAAACTGGTTTTCTGGACCCATCAGACAGATCTCCGGTATGTCATCTATTGCCTCGGCTTCCGCATACCACTGATCGCGTTTGTTTGCGTTCTAGCTGCCGAGATGGGCGTATCAAAGACTTCGGAATCAGAAGCGTCCAATAACGAAAGGACAAAAAATTCATAGAGTCAAGGTATTGATACTCACGTAGGGGCGCTCAGCTTGCTTCGATGCTTCTACATGCACAAATACTTCAGGTAATCAGGCATGTGTACTCTTGTCTGTTCATGGACGTTATTTGATGTGAGTTTGATGAAATGGGCGACTCGCTCAGGATTGAGACGATCCAGGGGAATGTATCAGGATGTTCGAAACTCTGTCCGTGTTAGAATCCTTTAACGTCACTCCTACTTTCAATCCTCCTATTACCTCGTCATCGCCGTTTACAGCCTCAATGTTTATTACCTCCACCTACTTCTGTTGCCACACCAAACTTGGTTATCATCATGTGGGCACAAATGTCGCAGCATAGATCGCTTAAGTGGCCAAGACAGCAATGTCCGCTTGATCGGGTGAGCACATTTTTGATATCCCCTGAGATAGGCTGGACTTTTACTGGGCCAACAAAGTGTTCGCAATGACGCTCCTATGTCTCAAGCTGATGTTGCACGCTCTACGACTAGGCGTGTCGGCGCCTCACGTTCCCTTCCATGATTTCCCACTGCCGGCTGGATAGCCTTGGTGATTGCGGCGTCCACTAAACGTTATAAAAGGCAGAGTGGACAAAGGCGAAACAGCCCGCTTTCTCGCAGAGGTCAGCAGTGCAGTAGCAATTAAAGCTTCAGTCGCTCGGGCGACGAACATCAGCGGCCTGCCACAGTGATCGATAGAGGCAATAATATATTCTAGCGCGATGAAGGGTTCGGTAGGTTGTTACTTGGTAACACAATATCAAACTGCGATGGTTGCTGAGGGTGGAGGCGTTGTACCATTAGCATGTATACCAGAGCAAAATGATTGCGTCGTCCAACGAACTTCGGTCGAGTCAGATCTAGAATAGGAGTCCAATCAATTCCTGGAACGGCTGGTGCTACTCCACTGCAGACCTTCGGTGCTTATGGCCAGGAGGTTACCGTACGTTGGTCGATAACAATGCCTGGCACTTGAATACTGGGCAAAGTATTTCAATTACCAAACGTTATTATGTATTTGGGCATCGTACCGGTAGTTTCAGGAATTGACCAACTCATCTAGCGGTATTCCACTTTCGGGTGTTATTCAGAATACCATTTTCGATGTTCGCTCTCGTAAGCTGCTTGATCCCCAACAATAACTCTTGTTTTGTCAACCCAGCTATTAATGCACCATTTCGCTGCGTCATATGCTGTGGCGCAGGTCCCTGGAACGCCACTTGGCCCACTAGTGATGGCATGAAACGCAACGTTTCGACCGCTCGAACAATTCAGGGGGGTTCGTGGTAAGCCGGGCAAGTTTGGCGACTCAGCCACTACTTAGTCCTATTCAACAAGCAGTCACGCTCTGCTTATCAAGATTTGGGGCAAAAATCGTTAGTGCATTCAGTGCGCAGTTTGGCGTTAAACTGGAATAAGCTGTTGAGCAGGGTACTGGTACCACCACTGGTAGCGAACGAGCAGAATAGACGCAAGACTGGAGGCGAGGGGACATTTATGCAAGGGATATTGTAGGGCCTTGCCCTCCTAAGACCGCAAACGAGGGGGGAAAAGGAGGGACAGGTGGTTTCAGGATCGGGCATACAGGCCGCCGAGAGCGCTAGAGTGAACGATACCCATGAAAAATTTGTTCCATTAGCATGTGGTGGTGACGCATGATGTGACAAATGGAGCGCCGAGGAGTCCTCTGTAGCCTGTGCGACGACGATGGATTGGAGTCGAGTACTTGAGTTCTTTATTACATAACAAGCTCAGGGTAAGTCCTACGTGGCTGTGCACAGTCACGGGGATAGAGTATAACCCCCTGGTTGGAGCGGAAGAAAATCAATGGTACGGCTTCTTAGTACCTCACAATGACATACTAGAACATGCCGGAGCGCAGTCACGACCGGTGGGTTTTGCCGTGCGGAGTCAATTGACAGGCAGATGCGCGGATGTCGAAAAAAGCGTCTCATTTTCGGGCTGGAGTGACCTTGTAAACAAGGTGACAGGACTGAGAAGTTCATCTATAAATCTCTGGTAGGTCTGATAAGCGATTGGTTGGATTACATAGCATACGTTAAACTATCCGATTTTTACGATAAGGTTGACCGTACACAAAACGTGTCGGGGGAAGAACATGGCTCCTGGCTCACATTCCAACGTCACATCTATAATAGAGACTTCATCGGAAGCAACCTGACGATTCGATCTTTCTTAATTTGCTGGCCCTGTTTGCCGAAATAACGTTCCGCATCAAATGACCAGTGTAATGAGCCGATAACCATGTCCCGAAGGCCTTGGACATAGATGGCCACGTTCTGATCGACGGGCGAACCCCATGTTGGCAGGATAGTGAAGTTGTCCTCAAAGCGCTGCAACGCTGCTTCCCAATAAGCACCGGCTGCGTCCACAGCGCCTTGAAGGTCAAGTCCTTGTTCGTACATGAGAATCATGACAAGGTTGTGGATATCGCCTCGAGCCTGCTCCTTGTTGTAGGAGTAGATGTCCTGCAAGCTATTATGTAGCTGACGTCTATAATGTCAAGAGATTGCTCACGTTGGACCAGCTTATCATGTCGTTAGCAGCTTCCCCCATGGCCATGATCGCCGGGTGAGAGACGACCTCGTCAGGCAAGTCTATGCCAACAGCGTACTCAATCATTGCATAACAGGGCTTGCATGCACTGGTGTCCCGCCTGTAAGCTATGTATGACTCCAGATCCGCAATATAGCCCTTGGAGCGGCGTTCAACCTCTCTTTCAGACGCAGCGAAAAACAAATAGAATCCATGGATAAACCGCTCAGTACAACCAGGACCAGCAGTCTGGCGGAAGCGGTCGAAAAATCTTGGACACCCTCAGCAAAGTTAAGCATTAACAGGAGTAGGAAGGCTTACGACTTAACCATCAGGACACTGCGCTTTTCGGTCCGAAGGTTCGGGTCACGAAAGACATCCAAGCAGGTTTGCCACAATGCTCGTGCATCTCCCAAGTCGTACTCATCGAACCAGTCGTCCACGTTGAAAAGCAATGCGAGCCAGTCAGCACATACGCGCAACCGGGGGGCATCTGCGTCTGGGTAGTAGGTTGCACTGAGTAGTGCAGACTTCGCAGCCTTGGACCTCTCCAGACTGTCCTCGGAAAAGCCGCAGACTTCTACAAGCCACTTGTCTGAGTCATGCAGTATGTCATCAAGGTAGGGGTTCAACCGTAGGGGATATGGGCAGGTGGTGAGGAAATCGGGTAAGAGGAAGGTCTGGGGTGACCCCGATACGAACTGTGTGGCCATAAAAATTATATGCGTCAAGAACCTACAAAGTTCCTTCGAGAAGATGAACACAAGGAGAGGGCTCACAATGATTCAAATTTCAGCGCGACGACTATTTTATAATCGACACTTGTCTGAGGCCGTGACGACCAGGCTCAGGGCAGGGGAAAGGATGCCGGCGATATTTGGCCAAGCTGTAGTGTTTACATTTCCGACACAGACGTTACTTACAAATCTGAAGGATCGTTCAACAGGAACTGCGATGAGACACGGTGCATATCCGGGCTGACGCTAATATTGTTTTGGTCGTGGATCCTGTGGTCCTCTCAGAAAACTTTCACTTACCAAGCCAAGAAGGGAACGAATCCATGTGGCAGCCGAACGGCAATCACAATAACTGGTAGAATATCTTCGCGCTCTGAAGCGGCCAAATATGCAAAGAACGTGGAAAAATCATCGCGGTGTTTCATGTAGCCGCAGAGGCGGCTAGAACAAGTGTCTTCGGCATAATAACCTGGAACCGTGATTTGCAGCTAAACATGAAAGGAACTGGAGGGGTTTGAAACAGTGTAACGGAGATCACGGTGTGTTCGACTCTGAGGCGTTGATTTCCAGTACATATAACTGGACATTCAGGATTTGCCGATGTCTGCTGGTGGACTTGACCGCGCTCGGGAAACTCCTATCAGTGACCCAGTTATGACAGTGACAAAGATACAGTCACATGTATAATTAATGCTCAACGCCGACCGTGGAAACAAGTTCAAAAGCCAGTAGTGCGCCATCAAATGGCCATACCCGATCCAAAATATCCAAAGAATGATGATACATGCCATTAAACTTGAGCAAAAGATAACTTCCGTGACACCAGTCTGTGCACTGAACATCGAGATTAGACCACGTTCTCCACGTACGGAAGAAGGAAGATCTTTTGATCACCCGACGGCTTTAACAATATGGTTTTTAGCAGACAAGTAGACACGGAATGTCTGTGCTTTCTTCGTTAGTTTGACTGTAGCATCGCCTGAACTTTCATGCTTGCGTCCTCGCCCTGTGTGCGAAAGGATGAGGTGTAGGTTAGAAGTGAAATTGAAAAAGGTTGTAGGGAGTCAGTCGCGCTCGATTTGCTTATGTAACCTCCAGATGGCCACTGGACGTCATATGGAGGAACATGAAGGAAATGGAAGCTATGTAGAAAGTGCCTTGCTGCGGAAGAGATTATATCGAGCAGAAGTACAGATTATACGAAGTTTAACAAATATCTGTGATGATGAATAAACGAAGAGCGTCAATGTTCAATCTATGATCATCATCATTCTGCGAAGCTACACGCTCGAACGTATATTCGCGCCGAGGAAAGTCGTATGCAATGTTGAATCCACCACCTGCGTCGGTGACGTCTACAACCAGGTGACACGTACTACCATCAGGAAGAGGTTTGAGGGGTGGGGTCACGAAGGAAAATGAAATGACGTCCACACTCCATCAGTCAAGTGACTGGTCTGGCTGTCCAACCGGCCCTGCAAAGTCCCAAACAACAAACCGTTTTCCAGCACAGGACGAGGGATAGCGCCCAGGAACATAGGTTCGGCCTGACGACCGCCTGAGGCGCAAAGGGAACGTGGGGGGCAGAAGTCGTCGAAGTGTCGTTCGTCGACCAGGGAACTTTCAAATGCTTGCTTGCCTTCGCTCTGGTTGGACTTGCGATGTAAGTGCATCTCAACTGTTTCATCGTTCCGAAAATCATCCTGATGTCATATGTGTGTGGGACGAAATTTGGTGGTACGATATCTTTAGGATCACGTCGTCTATTTGTGCGTATGACTCTTTTGTGCCCGTAATTCAGCTTTCTCACAGCGAGTACTGATGCAGCATTTGGCAGAATCCCGCAATTCGGCGAAGGATGGAGCTGCCAGACATCAGGTTTGCCGTACTGGAGATCCTTCGGGCTTCTTTGCAAGTAATAATGTTGCCCCATTTGTCAGATTGCAGTTGGCATCATTGGCGTCGTACTGATCCGGGCCCAGAGGGTCGTTGCGGATGAAAAAGACGATGAAACAAACCAGGCCGAACATACCGTACTGCAAAGACGTCAAGTAAGGCAATCTGACGCAGATTCCTACAGTGTTGATTGCTCACGCGCAGGGTGAGGAAGGCCACCCGAGCGGGGCTGCAGGGGCAAGTTCGATTTTTTATACCAGTTGGTTTTATCTAAGTGGCAAAGCCAAGGTGTGGCCGAGACCGCGAATTGCAATGGCCTGTTCAATGTCTGAGCGCTACTGCCACAGTGACCCTGTCTGACATGTCCTGATATGTACACCCATGTCGTCACCGTGCCATTGGACCAGCGAACTTGACATTGGCATCTCGCTGAGTAGGGAAATCTGGGGAGATTGCCCATGTATTAATGCCACCGGGTGCCAATCAGGGTCCTGGTGCATCACATATAGGTAGCTCCAACACAGACTTCGTGGCAGATAAAGCATGGAGGGTTCTGCGTTTGACACGTTACATGTCTGTTTGACGGTAGTCACGGATCGAGAAGGTATGGCGTTTTGCGGGATTCATAGGGAGGGCTGACGATATCCATGGTTAGTTAACCGTACTTCTCCCCACTGCTGTCTCGTCAACTTGTTGTCCCATGGCAGACCGGAATGTCACAAACCCGACATCGGATGAATTCGGTCAGCGCGCTCCTCATGCACGTTACACTTCTTTCGACGTTGTGGTATAGAGTTCTTCATCAAACTGCAACACTGTCTTCTAGGCCTCTACGCGTGAGCTTTCTGCCGACTACCCAAGAAAACCACTCATTGACTATTTAGTTGGGAATTTGTTATCTCGCTCGACTTTGATTGGAAAGTTATCGCTGGGAAACATGCCTTTCGATGGCCCTTGGTAAGCATCCTTGCTTGATGAACAATTCAAACCGGCCCACTGATACACCAGCAGTTTTTTTATTTTGCTGGAAGATATTTGATGTTGGCTGCATTAATAGGAATGTAAGCCATATCCTTGATGACTACGGACCACCTATATGCTGCTGAAATATTATGTAGCATAGTCTCAGTTGACCCTCCCACGTATGTCCTGCACGCCCTCACGTCTGTGGCGTATTGACACCGTAAAACAACACAAAAGGACGCTAAATTGTCATAATTTGGTCACATTCAACGAGGTTGGTTGCCGTTATCATTCTCAAAACATAGTTGAGCGCAAAGCTTCCGATAGTTAGCTGCGAGCGCTTCTCTTGGTTTAGCTTGCATCAACTTGGCAGTTCGCACGTACGCGCCAATGTCTTCGGGACATGTGCTCTTTCCGACGGATATTCTAGCATTGCCGTATGGCACAATAAATGGATTACGCGGCTTGTGATTCTTCTCGTCCTTGGGCATTGGTCACTGGTATTGCAGAGCGGCCTCGTGATCACCTCATGGACACCGACCTTAGGTTGTGTAATCGTGGAGACCAAAAATACTATTCTCGCTGCGACGTCCTTGTATGCAATGAGCTTTGATTTCATCGTTCTCTGTCTTTTGGCCTATAGGCTGGCCTTTGCCCTTGACCCGATATCGATCGCCTCGGGTAGACTCGCGCGCAGGCTTATTTCTGAGGGACTCATCTATTTTCTTGTCTCGTGAGTTCACAATCGTTCTATAGTATATATAAATATATCTCGCTTCTCACCAGTTTCGTATGCAATTCTATCTCCTCGCTGCTCATGATTATTGTTGTCTACGACCCCGTGGTGGCCGTGATTTTTCATATCCCTGCCTGCGTTGCGTCCACGGTAAGCACACACAGATGACAAGCGATACCGCCACCTAACTCATTCTTCTGGGTTCTGTTGTGCAGATTGCATCCTCGCGAGTCGTTCGCGGCCTCAGCACATTCAATGCGGAGACGGGAAGAGTACAGTAAACACGTTTCAACTGATGAGTCGCGCACAATGTGATGACCACTTGATTAGCACCGATATTGGCAGTGTTCGCAACACGCCCGCACTCGTAGGGGGGACTATCTCCTCCAGAGGAAATGTGCGCACGGACCGAGTAGATGACGTTTGCATTGAGGTATGTTCCGTTTTGTTTTTACAACAAAATATTTACTCGTATATTTCCCTTATTAGACGGGGAAACTTTCATCAATTGGAGCAGAAGCCGACCAGGGCATATGCAGGCATGCTGCAGAAGTTAGTGAATCAGATGAGAAGTTGTCTGCAGACGGCATGGTTTAGACAAGTTGGTTGCTGTCAGACTGCGTGGAGCCTTCTGCAGTTGTAATTTTACAATTGTTATGGAGCTTAGGTCCTTTGAGCTTTGGTAGCACTTCCCTTTCGCTTCCCATCTCTCCTTGATTTCACTCTGTATTTGTATCATCATCATGTGTGCCTCGACCTGACATTGTACACTTATGGCATTATATAGGTGAGTTCAACACCTATGTATGTACTGTACCTCCAATTTGTTCCGGTGGGTATGATGGTATTGACACGTAGATCTTGGTTATGGGTAGAATAGGTTAGCCACGAACAAAAATTTTTTGAGGTCCTGCCAGGATTCGAACCTGGGTTTCGGGAACATCTTATAATCAGAATCCCGAGTGATGACCGCTACACTACAAGACCATGCAACGCATTGCATGCTGCTGCACACTAACACCAACTCACGGGCCCTCAACCACCTCGCTAGTGCAGGACATACAGCTGACCGCATACCAAGTTCCTGATGTACACTTCATTCGTTAACAGTCCAGGCTTGATGTACAGCACTGTATCATCTCTAGTGGGAGAAGGGGGTTGAGATCAGACCTGTTGTTTGGGAACGTGGGCAAGACTCTGGAAGACTAACAATTCGAACAGTCACCGCTATGTTACAATCTTCGAGCAAAACACAGTTCCACATCAATAGCACATGGCAGCAGCGGCAGCAGCGCACCTGTATTGAACCAACCGCTACGTTCTCCCAGGTTCCGAAGATTAGTATCGTCTTCCTATCTACGCAAGTGAATAAAGATTATGCGAGTCGTCTGTGCACCTCTGTAGATCTTGTGCAGAGTGCCTAGGGCACCCCTGCGCGCCGAAAGTCGTGTTACCACAACTAAAACAAGTGTGGTTGAGATGGAGTAGCCCTGGAGTGCTGGTTGTCGAAACACGGGTGGACCGCTCCTTGGCTATTCAATCTGCGCGTGAAGTGTTTGACGATCTGTCCCCCCCGGGTCTCACTCTTACCCTGATGGACGGTATGTGTGACTTGGAAGACGCGGGGCGCTGCAGCCTTGCTCTCCTACAACTTTGGATAAGGGTTTGTCACGATGAGGTCCTGAATGTCAGTGAGGGTGACCAGCATGAGAGCTTCCCCTGGGTGGAGCAGTGGTGGCTGCACCACATCCTCTGGGCGTATCAGATAGCTAACTTCGGAGTTTCTGAACGTTCCAATCCATCTGGTACGTCGGTGTGTGACACTGAGGTGCCTCCCAAGACTGACGAAACGTGGCGCACGAATGAAAGGATACAAAGGACTGGGCTAAGTCATTGGGCGTAGAGCGGAGTGCAAGGGGATAGCGCAGGTAGAGTACAGCTTACGCGGTGCACGACCTATGAGCGTCCAGCCCTGGTCCCATGGGGGCTATCCCCCACTTCTGATACTGCTTCATCCACACCAGAACGAGGAGCTGTCCTTGAGAGGAGCGTTCGATCACCATTAGTTCAGTTGAACCACTTAGTCACTAGAAGTTAGTGACGAGGAAAGAATCCGTTGATCACTGTCCCTCATTATACCTGGGAGTCGCCGCGGCAGAATCAGATTCCAATTCGGTGGCGGTTGACGGAAATGAGGTTGGAAGGAACAAGGACTTGCCTTCAGCGGTTTTGGTTCCAGGCCATGGAATGTTTATGAGAAAGCCCTAGGGTCGTTCACACGTCTGTCTGTGGAGTGGAGCAACGGAAAATAAGTAGTCAAACTTCTGCCGGATCTATCATTGGAGCAACCCCAGCCTGCGCGGTACACCGCCGACAGCAGGAGTCGAGCGTATGAAGCATCTGTCGTTGTCTCCAACTGGCTTTGTCGTTATGCATTGTAGTTTGATGAGCTGGAGTCGCCCTTGTGAGTTGCCCGGGCTCGGGGGGGTCGTCAATGGAAACAGGTGTCGAGTGGCAAATGCCGGCGGAAGCGGTAAAAGTGTGTGATGACGTCAGGGGTGCTCCCTTTGCCGGGCGCAGTCGCCCTTCTCGCTACGGAACACCTTGCTATCTTGCATGCCGCCAAGTACATCGCGCGTATTCATAGCACAGATAAAAACAACGCACGTTTCCATGTTCACGCGCGGATGCTGCTGAATAGAACAATGGAGCTGCAGAGAAGTTGGAGTTTCGGACAGATCGTCACGGTCACCCCCGTTTCACCAACTCGCATACCCAACCTATTTAAACACGATACTAACACTGTGACATTGGCGGCCATCTAGCGCGACACTATCCCCAGTGACGCTCTTGGCGAGATTTATATTGAAATCTGTTCTAACAATCTGCGGGCACGAAGTAACAAACAACAATTAATACAGAGTACGTTTTTCTTTCTGCTGTACTTTGTCTATCCAGACACTGGTCCCTTTCCACTGTGATGTCCCACATGCCAGGCCATCGTTCGCTGACCATACCTACCAGTATCATGACACAATCTCGTTCCCCGTCTCGCCAACAAACGGATTCTTCGAATGGAGACGGTCAACCCTCTACCGCTCGCCATGGAGGAATCAGGACCCCAAGGCGTGTTCAATGGGCTAGCAGAGATGATGTCCGGTTAAGCATCGACCCCGAGACATTATCCCATTTGAGCGTGCACGCTCTGGACGAGTTGGGGCTCGATGTATGTCCATCATGCTATTTTTCCAATTGTTGGCGTCCAACCCACTTTACTTAGCCTGAAGCCTTCGAAAACCTTCGAAGTGCTCTGGAACGGCACAAATCTGGGAGCGTTAGCGCAAGGGACGGAGCAGCCCATGAGACAGATCCATCCAGATCACAATTAGAGTCGGTCTCGCTCATTCAGCGTCTCCCTTCCCGTCCAGCTCTACCTCCGCAAAGCAGTGTCACGTTCACAACCTCAAACTCCAGGCACGATCAAAACCCCTTTTCAAACCCAGTCCCTTCTCATCGCTTCTCACCCTTATCCTCCACGGATATAAGCAGACCCCTTAACGTCGAAACCCCCTCAACGGACACAGGAGCAAATACGCCCGAGTCTGATGCGCCCTTGTTGGTACAGAGCACACACAAAGTTCCTGGTGAAGTGTGGATAGACCCTAACGAGAGGGAAGGTTTGCCTGTCGGCCCCACACCTCTTGGGTTGACACTTGGCATCGATGTGGGCGGGACAGATTCGAACCGTGATTCCTCAACAGGGATGACCCGTCGAAGTACCCTTCTCGGAAGCCTGCGGCGTAGCAACGATGCAGACTTAGGGAGAGGATTCAGCACGCGCAACAGTGCAGCTGTTGTCAATCCTGCTATGGAGCGACATGCTGAGAGGCTGGCAGTACATCGGGCAGCTGGTGTCGTTAGGGCGCATACGAGGAGAAGAGAAAATTGGGTACATCGACCTCACCCTGGAAAACACATCGTTTGCGAACGAGGGGAGGATGATGGGGTAAGTACAGATGCAGACGGGACCGAGAAAGATGCGGAGAAGAGGATGCAGAACGGAGGGAGTCGTCTGGATCATCCAGATCTAAAAGATGATGCGGGAGCAGAGTGGACGGACGTCGATCAGTCGCATCCGGAGCCCAAGACGTTGTGCCATGCAGACAGAGATCGTAACAGGATGAGGGGAAAAATTCCGTCATGGTTCCGCTCGTTCGCTAATCGACGTTCACATCCTGGTACTTCTACGCATTTCGACCGAATCGATCCTGAAGCCAACACTGCATCCTCCATGCACGCGCTGCACCCTCATCCCCGTCTAGGAAATGGGGTCCTTAGTGCTTTATTGGCACTATACGGACGCGACCACGATCATGACCAGGAACGTGAGGGTGAACATGACGACGAAGGAAGTACAAGTGGAGGGAGCACACCAGGCCGCAGGAGCCGCTCGAGTTCGGTAGCGGGAAGTGAGGATGAAGTATCAAACTTGGAAAAACCAGAGAGACCATGGTTAGATCGACCAGAGGGCAAAGGTAAGAACAGTTTCTTTAAACCAACTGCCCCGACCCACACTGAGGCCGAGACGAAAGTTTCAACATCTTCGCACGGAGGTACCTCCAAACCCTCGAAGCTTACGAAACCAGCAGGCAGATCCCTGAAAATGTCTTCCGCCTCCTCTCTTCTACACGCTCTCCACCACCGTACGCAGTCGTTACCGACATCATCGTCGACAGCTGCGCTTATCGCGGGTGCGGGTGCGCTTACTGGGGCTGCTGTCCCAAGCGGTGCCACCCTTGCACCAGATCTACGGAGAGGAGAGGGCTTGGTAAGATACGAGATTGATGGGGGAGCCACAGATGCTACTGGAGAAAGAGAGACAGGATCGCCTGACACCGTAGTGCCACCGCCGGCTTCTGCAGAAACTTCACAGGCTAGCTCGTGTTCGCAAACTAACACATCTACCAGTCCAGCCAGTACAGGCTCAGAAACACGAGCAGGAAGTAGGGGAATCAACAGAGGATGGAAGGCCGTTCTCCGGGACCTTCCCCTTCCGTCGACAGGGGTAGTGGGTGATGTTCTGAAAGGGGTGTCGCGTTCCTTGCCTGGTACCCCAGTCGGCCTGGGCAGCTTGGGGTGGGCTACGTCGAGTGAGAATACGACCCCTTGGTCAAGCGAGGATGCTACTCCACACAGTACAGGTGGTGACAGGACTTCGGAGACCGGGACACCTGTTGAAGGGCTAAAAGAGGAGGGTAGAAAGGACTACTTCGGGGAGAAGTGGCAGGAAGCGCCGAGGAAAAAGAAGAAAGGAAGAGGGATGGAGATGGAGAATAAGAATCGCGAGGAAAAGGAACGGAAGAAACAGGAGCGAAGGGAAAAGAGAAAGAGGGAAAAGGAGAAGAGGCAGAAAAGAAAGAAAGCAGAAGTTTGGGCAAGTCTCCGTTTTATTTCTTTTCCTTTATATTTGTCGAGTATTCATCTCACTTGTCGCACAGATCACTCGCCATGTCGCCGCCATTCTCCAGCGGCAAGAATTCATCCTTAAGCTTGCACGCGCCATGATGATGTTTGGTGGACCATCTCACCGCTTTGTCGCGCAGATACAGAGCACTGCCCGCGTGCTCGACCTCGATCTCAGTTGCATGTATCTCCCTGACGTGATGCTTATATCCTTCGAGGACAGGGCCACCGGAACGAGTAATGTCAAGTTTATACGCCAGGCCTCAGCGTTGGATCTGGAGAAGCTCAGCGACGCACACACTCTCTACTGGAATGTGAGCATTGGTGCCCTTTTCCTGACTACCTTTCGGTGTGCGTCGTGTGTGGTTACTTACCATACGACCAGGTCATTCATGACAACATATCTGTCTCACAAGCCTCCGCCGCGCTCGACGTTCTGATGCAGAAGAAGCCCTTGTACAACTTTGCACAACTTGTCTTCATCGGGGCGATGTGCTCTGCTTCTATTTGCTCAGTCTCTTTCTCCGGTTCATTCATCGATTGCCTCATCTCGGCACCACTCGGTGGTCTATTGGTTGCGATACAGCTCCTCAGTCCTCGGAATGAGTTGTACGGAAACGTCTTCGAGATCACGATCTCAACTCTGATGAGCTTTGTGAGCGCTGCATTGGCATCAACGGGACATTTCTGTTACCCGGCTGTAACGAGTAGTTCGGTGGTATTGATTTTACCCGTGTGTCGCTCGTTCTTTGTGTGATATCTTACTGACGTTGTCCAGGGTTTCATCGTCCTGTGTGGCTCGCTGGAAATTTGCTCGCGGTCCCTTGTAGCCGGTGCGGTCAGACTCTGCTTTGCGTTGATGTACTCCCTCTTTCTCGGATTCGGCCTTGGAATCGGCGCACAATTATATGAGAGTTTCGTTGGTCAGCAATTGGTTGGCGCGACGGATTACCTCTGTTTGGACAGCCATGATCCATCTGGACCGTGGTGGCAACAGACGCCTAGTTTGTGGTGGGCTTTCTTGACAGTTCCCATGTACTCGCTATTTTTGAGTATGCGACTGATGGCGCCGTGGTGGAGACGAGAGCTGGTGAGTCCACCCCTATGGACCTTCATCCGGGTTTTTTTATTGATATTTGTGGTCCCGTAGCTGGTATCGATTATCATTTCATGTATGGGTTGGGTTACGAATCACTTCACGAGCCTCAAATTCCCCAATCAGGGTGACATCAGCGCAGCCGTTGGGTATGCCTTAACCTCATCCTCTGCTCGCTTTCATGGTTTAATGCTTCATTCAGCGCGTTCGTGGTTGGGTTCGTGTCAAACCTGTATGGGCGATTCTTTGAAGGGAATGCCTTCGTTGTGATGGTAATTATCCTTTTTCATTCCACTGTTCCCCAGGTCGGCACAGCACTAACTAAGTACCACAGATTACCGGTATACTCTTCCAGGTTCCTTCAGGACTTGGCAGTAGCGGACTCCTCAACTTTGTGTACGACCAAGCATCTGGCTCATCGTCGTCCTACCAGAGCGGGTTCGAAACGGCGCTTCAGCTGATCTCGGTCGCCATCGGACTTACGGTTGGGTTGGGAATTTCGCTCGTTGTCGTACATCCCATACAGAGCCGTAGGAGAGCTGGAGGGCTATTCAGTTTGTGAAATGGTATAGTACCAGAATGGCTCCCTTCACCGTCTCCAAGGGCTCGGGCTCCTGTAGTAAGCGCTGGACGCATGATTCCCAACTTTACATAGTTGCACGGGCATTTTTGCGAACACCTGACAGTTTCACTGCCAAGCCCTATTTTATACCATACATTTCAAATATAATTGAACACCATTTTAGATATCACGTTCTCCTTCACTCATTCTTCGGCATCTTCTAGTAACACTGCCGATTTTAATCTCGGACAGTATCGGCATTTCATACGCAACGCTCGTTACCGTGTACTAATAGTTTTTCATGAGGTGAAAGCTGGAAGTGTGTGTCTCTGACATGCAAGTCGTCCCAGACCAATGGTTTCGGGCTACATGTCGCTGACTGCGTGGGTGAACTATTAACAAGAATACACTGTCAAGGAGGAACGCTGCCATTACCAAGCGCGGAGACGCGGGCGGCAGATGGACAAGCTGACTAATACTTCCAGCAAGTTGTGCTGGCAACCCCGCGGCCCTCTGCCTTTGAAAAAGTCCAGTGCCGCGCAGCATTCGCTATTTGCCTCCAAGGCTTCCCCCCTCTTCATCAACTGCTTCGTTTCTGGCAAGTATGAAGGATTTTCCAGAGCTGCCACTATAATACCTGCCCACTGTATAACAACTGACGACGCTAACATATGGAAGAAGCCGGAAAATCTCTTTTAGTGCCATTATTCCAGTGGTTGAGGAGTCGATGCCTGCCTATTCTTTTGTACTTTCAGGCGATGTTGCCTAGGTATATGTCAACCCCTGGTCAGGCTGTGAATGTCACTTCATTGAATGTCTTGAAGATCTCAAAAAATATTCGGATGTTGTGTGTGTTCACTATTATTCTGGAGTCCAAATACTATGATTCATGGGAATGAGAAACTCGTGTTTCCACTTCAATTCGTACTTTCGAGAAGACAGTAATTGTGCAATGGTCAAACCCCCATGTCCAATCTCACACTTGTTATCCATTATTCCTCTTGTCTCATGCATTCTTGGAATTAAACAGTTAATTAATGCCAATGAAGTAGGTGTTCATTGTGTTATGCCTGAGCGCAGTGACTTCTTCAAATGGAATAGGCATGAAGCATGCGAGGTGGGAGTCTATGGGCCTGAACTTGTCATAACCCCTATGGCTGAGTTATTACTTGATCCTGATGGAGGTTCTGTCTGCTGGCGAGTCCCTAAGGTTGTTCACATGGAGAGAGAACAAGGAAACAGCAAAGGGATGAAGCTCAGTTGCAAGCTATCAAAAAACTGCAGATACAGGATGAAGTATGTAGGATTATATACCCCTAAGTATGAGTACCACAGCAGTCACAACAGATGTGTTGTGATGTGTATCCACAGCAGTCAACAAACTGATCACTGAAATAAATAAGAGTCATACTGGTGTCAAAGATGGGAGTAGGGAGGCAACAAAGGCTGTACCAGCTGGCACAATCAATGTGCAGCAAGGAGCCTGACACCAGAGCTATAGTACAACATATAAGCAATATAAACAAGTCAGGGATGAGTCAACAGAACAAGAAGTGAACAAGTTGTCCATCAGGGAGGGCGGTGAAATGCCTGATCACAGTGGCAATGTGGTCTTGACTGGTATTGGAAATACCTTGACAGCAGGAGATCTGAATGTTCCCTGGAGCATTTGAGCCCCTAGGATGGCGACGATTATGAGGGACATGATGAGGCATGTGATGCACGTGACCACTAAGAGCCGAAAAAGGAAGGACCCCTGATGGAAGTGTAACATCACCCCCCTCTAAGGTCCTCAGACCCTTGAGGATGGGCTGGAGCTGGCATGAGCAGGGCGAGTGGATAGGGGTCGGTGAGTAGTGTAGACGTGGGAACAGGTGCGAGAGGCGATAGGCAACTGTGGTGATGGAGTCAGTGGTTCCTCGAGGGCCGGAGTAAAGCAGGAGCCACATCCATTGTGACAGGACCAATGTCCCAGGTAACAGCACTGGTAGCATGTGTGTTGATACAGGACGTGGTCCGCAGGGACCGGTGACTGTCCTCCAAGATAGAACTGAAGTTGATCTGCAGGGACAGGGATGAAGGGAGTTGCAGGGAGAGGGTTGGCAGAGTGGATGGCATTACGATAGTTCTTGTGAATTCCGGCCCATGATGCATCCTGCAGCAAAACCTCCCAAGTGGAGTTGTGAGTCCCTGTCCTGAGATGTGCACCAACCTCTTTAAACAATTCCCCAGAGTCGACATACCCAAGCTCAATGGAGTGCCATTCCTTCTCCTTCTCCTGATCTGTGATGACTTCTTTTATTTTTCCCAAAGCTGATGATTCCTCTTGCTTCAGTTTGATGCGATCTAGGATCTGGGAAGCTGGCAGCACCAAGAACTCTCCTATCTGTTGATTCTGTAAGTGATGATAAGCTCCTCCAGTTACTGCTTTGGTAAGGTCTGACGAAGCTTTTTCCAGCATGTCGATCATTATCACCTCCAACAGTGGCATGGTTCTGCTCAACTTCTGAGTTTGGATCTTGGAGACAAGCCCATTGATCACATCTGATGCTCTGTAGACTTGAGACAACATCCCAAAATACTCAACCTGTTCTGGTGAGCACCTGTCAATGTCATCCCCATCATGGAAGACATCAAGTGCCCTAACAACATCCAGGTAGTCACTTGCTGAGACTGGTAATCATTGCTGGTCAAGCCAGGCAGAGGCAGCCATGGCAAGGAGGTCGAGGGCTGCACATTGAGTGCTGTTGGAGTAGGTGGCAAAGGTGGTGTGTATGTCAGGAGATTTGGGAGCATTGGTGCTACTGGAGGGGGCTGCTGGACTATCAGGGTCATTGTCAGCTCGTGCCTTACCCTTTCCCTTGTGGCTACTGTCCTCACTGTGGGGGACTCTGACCAAGGGTGTGGGGACACACCTGACTGAGAACCCCAGGAGTGGACATGGTCCATGAGTCCTGGAGACAGGGGGCAATAGTGGGCAGGGTTGAGAGATGGGTGAGGAGAACCCAGGGACATGAAGGCCAGTGGGGGATGTTGGAGGTGAGGCTGGGGCATAAATAGTGATGGGTGGGATGAGCCCATCATCGTAGGTGTCATAAACGGATTCTGTGGCAAGGGGGAGGTCGGCATAGTTGTTCTCAGTGTTGACAGAGCGAGGGGAGTCCATTTAATTCTTAAGATGGCGGGTGAGTTTGTACTGGTCAAGGGCCTCTGACATGTGGTCCTTTATATGTTCCTCAGGTTCCCAGGTATTTGACAAATGCAGGAATCTTTTCCACTTGACCAGATATCTCCTCTTACCTCTTCAGCCATCAACCTTGTGATTCAGAATTGACTCGACCTCCCATTTGATTTCATCATCCACTAATTCAGGCAGCAGTGCTGCAGGCACAGCTCCATATGTCTCGTTTTCGACAAAAGGAAAGATCTGGGAGGCATGGAACACTGGATGTACCTTCCATGTTGGTGGAAGGTCCAATCGGAAGGCTACTGGTGATACCACCTGAGTCACAACAAATGGCCCAAGATGTTGGGGCGCAATCTTGTCAGCACTGGTTTTTGATAGAGGTGTCCGGTATCCAGGAGCATGCAATCTCTGACCTTAGGCACAACATAGGACCCTTTTGAGCGCGAACGCATCAAGTCCTGTGCTTTCTTGTGCACAAGGATGGCGACATCATGGTTTGAGGCCAGCCTTTCTAACCTTTCATCAACCGAAGGTACTGCAGTGATCCTCACTTCAGGGTAAGGGGATGGGTTGTATCCAAGGAGCAGGGAGAACAGAGTCATTTGATGAACAGAATGAACCTGTGAATTGTGAGTGAACTCAGCGGATGGAAGTTTGGTGGACCAGGAATTTGGTGATTCTGCGCAGTACAACCACAAATATCCTTCAACTTCCTGGTTTACCTGTTCACTTTCTCCATTGGTTTGAGGATGATAACCCGTGGACAGTTTCATTTTGACCCCTATAGCCTTGTACAATTCCTTGGTAAAGGCCGACATGAACTGGGGACTGTGATCTGAGATTACTGACTCTTGGATTCCATATCAGGAATATATGAACTGATGGAAAAGCCAGGCGATCCCAACGGAGTCAATAGTTTTATGACATGGAACGAACAGGGTGGCCTTTGTTGGCCCTTGATCAACAACCATGAGAATTGAATCGTATTTTTGTTCTCCCGAGACAGGGAGATCCATGATGAGATCCATAGATATCTGTTGAAATGGGAATGTGGTTTTAGGGGCCTCATGCAGGATGACTGGTGGCATTGGCAGATGTGTGACGACCTTGGTGGTCTGGCAGACTGGGCATCCTGCAACATAAGCCTTGATATCTTTTCCCATACCTTCCCACCAGACTTCTTTCCTCATCTTTGCAAACATGGCTTTCTGTCTGGGGTGTCCCACAGACTTGTGGTTGTGGTATGAGCACATGCAGTGATGGCAATGATCAGGGGGAATGTACAGCCATGTTGTACCATATCATTTTGTTCCATTGTCCACGACAGTGACATTTTCCTTGGGTTCTGGACCTGTAGAGACCTTTGACGTGTTGTTCTTGACATGCTCATACAGGTCAGCTGATATCACATATACCCCCCTGGCTCCTTTGATTGGTTCCTCAAAAGGGTGAGCGTCAGGCAGCTGATTCCCTTTTGACTTTTCCTCAACTGGGCAGGAATATGGCTTAGGGTTGGACCTTGAATGCGAAAGTTGGGCTGGCAAACATCCTATTCTGCATAGATGGTTGATTTTTAACTGTTTTTGTAATTTTGTAACAGAAGATGAAGGGGAAATGAGGCAAATTTGGGGACCCACCCCCTCCGAAAGCCAAAGGTCCAGGGGAAGGACTGTGGCCACCAGGGTGGGCTCTGCAGCTTCACTTTTCTGCAAAAGAGTGTCAGCAGGGACCTGGAGGCGACCAGCCTGCCAGGAGAAACGAATGGGGTAAGACTGGACCGTAGCAGCCCAGCAAGCTTGGCATGGGGTGAGCTGTTGAGGCTTGCAGTAGTATTCCAAATTCTTGTGGTCAGTGAAAACCACAGTCAGTTCGATGGGGGATAACAGGTATAGATGGAAGGCCTTGAGGGCCCAAATGACAGCGAGCATTTCCAAGTCATAGACCTGGTACTGCTGCTCAGCACCGACAAGAGATTGTGAGAGATAAGAACAGGGGTGCCATTCCTCATCAGCTCCTTTTTGGGCAAGTACCGCACCAGTACCAAGCTTAGAGGCATCTGTAAAAAGTGCAAACAGCTTTGAGAAGTCTGGGATGGTGAGGACTGGAGCAGAGCATAACAAAGATTTGAGCTTCTCAAACATGGCATCGTGTTCCTGGGTCCATTGACAGGACACCCCTTTTTTTGTAAGGTCATAGAGGGGATGAGCAACACTAGAGAAAG